TCATCTGATACTGTGCTAAATGAATGGATTAAACATCTCCTTGTGAGCACAGTGTTTTTTTTTTTTTGTTTTTTTTTTTTGCATCTTGATAACATGGTTATGTCAGCATTTGTGTTTGTAGTATTGTATCCTATGGTTCCTGGTGCTGCCAAGGAGATGACCTGTTGGAATCGCGAGCAATTAAGCAGCTGCATAGATTTCTTTAGCAATCTGAGCCAAGTCCTTCAGTCACTGGACAGTGACCATGTTCTAGAACAAAACTGTACTTCATCCTTGGTTTTGTACAAAATGACTTTGCATGCAGTGAACGTAGATTACCAAGTCATTCCTAAATTGTAGTTATAATTACTTATTACATTAAGAACTGAAGTACTGCATCTTTAGTATTATGTAGGCCATTGGTTTTGCAGTGCCAATTTAACTGTACAGTTGTTAAGCTTGTAAGCGTATGGGTAAAAACCATCAGTGGTGCTGCTTTTGTTCGACTGAAGAAATCCAGAAACACTTTGAAGAGTAAAGTAGATGGGTTTAGGTTGCTCTAACAAGAAGCGAATGTATAAAATAAAAAAAAGCTATATTCACAATCGAATGAATCTTCTCCATCTAAAGAATTGTACACCAAACCACAACATATTTGCAATTTAAGGACGTGAAACTGGTTATGATGCTGGAGCAGTATAATAACAAAGCAATTAATAGTTCTTATTGAACATAGAATTGACAGCACTTCCTTCTTGTGCCTTGTGTACGCTGCCTGTAAGCTATCTCTGTTTTTGAGTAATTAGCTATTTGCCTGCTCCTGAGAATACTATATATTGATTGCAATAGAGATTCAAGGTCAGGAAGTTTTGACACATTGGTGAGATGTTTACTTATTTGACTTTTAAAGGAATATTAAACCCAGAAGAAGCTTGTAGCAGTGATACTATGAATGCAAAACAGGATTTATCAAGCCATGGTGCGGTGTTTATTATAAACAGATTCAGTCCTCGGAGTCTGTTGGCTGCGCTGTTTCAGCATTTGATCGAGTTTATAAAGCCGGTAAACAAATATTAGATTAATACAAATTCTACAGGCACCATAACCACTCTAGAAATCTAAAGTGTGGGGATAGGTGTTTAAAACAACCTTGCTAGTTTAGTCTACATGCTGTAGGTTAAAAGAAAATACATTCTGCAGGCACAATTGTAAGAGTTTAGTTGCACTTTCAGTTTTGTTTTCCAATAGAAAATGGAGTCTTGAACAATCCTACAATATTACTGTGCACAGTAGCATTTGCACTGAAGTGCATGCAATCACTCGTATTCTTGTGAAATAAGCCATACACGCTTTGTGGTACTTTATTTGTACAGGAGTGCACCAATGATAAAACACGCGGCAATGAAAAAAAACTTTGCTGTTTTTTTTTATTTTTATTTATTTAGTTCTTGATTCTCTCATATTTGTTTTGTTCAAAGCGCAACAGAATGGCAGGGATTGACTCTTAGACTCTTGTGTCAAAGAAAAGTGGGGGGAGGTGGGTGGGTTGACAGTTGACAGTGTCACTTTAAATGTTTTCTTTAATTATTTTAAATGTGTACTCTGCATAGAGCATTAAAATTGTCAACTCCAGCTTACTTATAATTACTTTGAGTTCGCTTCTAGTCTGTTTAGTGCAGTCGCTCTTAAAGCAATACGCCCACCCCACATAACACCTTAAATACACTTAACCCCTTAAGGACGGAGGCAATTGTACAAGTTCTTTTTGGTTTTGTGGAAAGAGCCAGTGTTCACCATCTAGAACGGTTCAAGCACAACTACAAATATTGAGTCTTTCTAGGTGGCAGAGCATGTGTTTTTAAAAATAAATATATATATTTTTTATCTTTAAACATATTTTTCAAATATTATGCATATAGCAGTTGCCAAAAAAAGACATTGGCAAGAAAAAATTTAAAATAGGCCTCCTTTCTCTTGACTTGTGCCCAGTTAGCGTGTTCTTTGACCTCGTTTTCCCAGGTCTGTATTTGGCATTTGCCACTTAGTACACAGTCACTCATTATTAAGAACATTTTGTCATGTGACACTTACTACCCGTCAGGTGTCGAGGTGCATTGTAAGCCTAGCTTGATGTGAGAGAAACTTCCTCCTCTGAGTCAGCCATGCATGTGTACTGGGTTGTGCCTGTCTATATGTCTAATTGTTTTCCTACCTCATTGAGTCATTCTTTAGTTACTATTTGTTTTGTGTACTGAATTATTGTGGGCAACAGAAAAATCCCACCACCTACATTCAGCATTATATCGAGGGCATTCCCTACATGGTCTGCCATTCCCATGGGTCACAATAGATTGCAGTTAGAGGTCCAGTCATTTTTGTTAATGTGATCTGTCAAAAAACAAATTGTACTTCTAGAGTTACATTTTAAAGGGATACTTTCACCTTTGACATTATTTCAAATCAAAGCTAAGTTAAATATGGAGTGCGCTGTTTTTTGTGTTACACCGTGTAGGTCATGACACGTCTTGTGTTTTGACTATAGCTTTGTGGAATGAAGTAAAATGTGTTTAAATCTTGGTGATGCACTGTACCATGAAGTGATGTGGAAAAAAGTATGTGTTGTACTTTATTTACTCCACAGTGAACCTCATTTAATTAGTGAAAACAGAATGGATATCGATCCAAATGTTTTTAGTAAAGAATTTGCCTAATCCGTTGCCAGTACAGTTTTTGATGAGACTTTGCCTCCTTAAATTTGTCTTTGCCGAAATCTTGGATATGAGATCAAATGTATAATAGTGTTTTTGTAATTTGTTTATTTTTTTTATATTAGGGGTTGATCCAACCAAAAACAAGGTCCCCTTGCTGACAAGGTCCCTGCCCCCCCCAAATAAATAAATGTAATATAGTGGTTATGGTGCTAGGTGGCTGTTGCCCTAAATGTGAATTATATTGATCCACATGTGCATTTACAATGCCGGAATGCGTTGGTCAACCTCAGTTTTAAACTGTGGAAATGGTTTGACAGAAAACCTGGATACATTGTCTGACGCACACTAGCAACATAACCATTATGACCACATTTGCAGGTGCTCCCTCCGTTAAAATGTTGTTAACTTTGCAATCAAGCAAAAGGACATGTCATTTCCCTTTAACAGTCTCACATTAAAGCAGTGTGGGAAAGGACAGACCAGCAATACCAGGTCTACCCATTAGTGGTTTTGTCGCTTTTCACCATTTCCCTAATTAGCAATTTCTTACAGTTTCTTTAAATATGGAGAAAAATATGTATTGTTTTAATTTACATATTAACTCAGTCTACTTCTACATTACTGGCTGTGTGTAAATATTTTTGCAAATATTTCACTTGCAGTGATTTTGTAAGGCTCATAATTGTGCCATTCACATTATACTGTGTTGCCACAGCCTCTCCAATACATTCTTTTTATAATTTTTTGGTATGCTTGGGAAAATTGTACACTTTTCAGTGCTCCTAAGCTTCTTGCTTCCATCTTATGTCCTGTGAATTCAAGGCCTACACTTGCTATTATTGATATGTGTGCTTACCCCATTTTCTGTATACCAGACAAAATGATTTTGAAATATGGACAATTTATTGGTGGAATTACATAAGAAGTGGATTAGTTAAAGAAAGCATGATCAGTCCATCTTTATTGGAAATTTTAAACAGCAGTCACTGGTGATGGTAATGACCGCTCAGCTCTAGTGATGCATACTTTGTTGGACCACCTGTTTTATGCGCTGCGATATGCGTTTTTATTTGTAGGATGAGTCGTTTTTAGCGAACGTGTCAGTATTTATTGGATCATTACGCCTAAATTTTAATCACAAAAAATTGACATCATGGGAAGATTAACTCTTACCATACTTGTCTAGTAAAGTCACAAAGGCCTCATTTAAATGTTTTTGGATAAGCTTTTTAAATTATTCAAATCTGTTAGAAAACACAATTTGTCTAAAAATCTTTGGAAGTAGCTGAGCTGCAGCAGAGGGGCCACTGGGAGAGCCTTCTTATTATCCTTTAAACAGTATAGCAGTATAATATGACGGAATATGACGTCATTCCGGCTCCCGACATCACTACAGGGAGCAGAGAGGAGCCGCTTGAAGATCACTGCTCCCTCACGCAGGATGAGCTAGAAGCCCCATTAGACCCCAGGGAAAGTCCACTCAGCTCTCCAAAAGGTAGGGAGGCTGGTTAGATTCAGATTAAAATGGGGGGGGGGGGAGAATGTATGTTTGTATATATATGTGTGTGTGTGTCTCTCTGTCAGTGTGTGTGTGTCTCTCTGTCAGTGTGTGTGTCTCTCTGTCAGTGTGTGTGTGTGTGTCTGTCAGTGTGTCTCTCTCTCTGTCAGTGTGTGTCTCTCTCTCTCTGTCAGTGTGTGTCTCTCTCTCTGTCAGTGTGTGTCTCTCTCTCTGTCAGTGTGTGTCTCTCTCTGTGTCAGTATGTCTCTCTCTCTGTCTGTCTCTCTCTCTCTCTGTCAGTATGTCTCTCTCTCTCTCTCTCTCTGTCAGTATGTGTCTCTCTCTCTCTCTCTGTCAGTATGTGTCTCTCTCTCTCTCTGTCAGTATGTCTCTCTCTCTGTCAGTATGTCTCTCTCTCTGTCAGTATGTGTCTCTCTCTCTGTCTGTATGTGTCTCTCTCTCTCTCAGTGTGTCTGTCTCTCTCTCTCTCTCAGTGTGTGTCTCTCTCTCTGTCAGTATGTCTCTCTGTCTCTCTCTCTGTCAGTATGATGTGTCTCTCTCTCTCTCTGTCGGTATGTCTCTCTCTCTCTCTCTCTGTCAGTATGTCTCTCTCTCTGTCAGTATGTCTCTCTCTCTGTCAGTATGTCTCTCTCTCTGTCAGTATGTCTCTCTCTCTCTCTCTCTCAGTATGTGTCTCTCTCTCTCTCTCTGTGTGTCTCTCTCTCTGTGTGTCTCTCTCTGTGTGTCTCTCTCTCTGTGTGTCTCTCTCTCTGTGTGTCTCTCTCTCTGTGTGTCTCTCTCTCTCTGTGTGTCTCTCTCTCTCTGTGTGTCTCTCTCTCTCTGTGTGTGTCTCTCTCTCTGTGTGTCTCTCTCTCTCTGTGTGTCTCTCTCTCTCTGTGTGTCTCTCTCTCTCTGTGTGTGTGTCTCTCTCTCTCTCTGTGTGTGTGTCTCTCTCTCTCTCTGTGTGTGTGTCTCTCTCTCTCTCTCTCTCTCTCTCTCTCTCTCTCTCTCTCTCTCTCTCTCTCTCTCTCTCTCTCTGTCAGTGTGTATGTGTGTGTCTCTTTCTGTCTGTGTGTGTGTCTTCTTGTTTCTGTTTAGGTACCTACTATCTTCCGATCACTAGAGAGGTGATTTTACTCACCTTCTTTCCTAGGTAATGGCAGTTTTCCGCGGCTTGTCCTGCCTTCATGGATGAGATAATCTTTAAGATCTCAACTAAACCAATGTTTTCCTATAGGAAAGCATTGGGAGGATATTGCGCATGTTTTCTATATGTAACATTCAGCACCTCCATGCAGAGCGTGGAGACGCTGAACAAATGTACTGCACACTGGGCCCTCTTGTGGCGTCTGAGTGACTGTCGCTAGAGGTGTTACTAGGCAGCTTTTCTCTGAAAAGGCAATGTTTACATTGAAAAGGGGACAGGGTACAGACACCAGAACAACTACATTAAGCTGTAGTGGTTCTGGTGACTATAGTGTCCCTTTAAGAATCGTATATTTCTCGTAAATTAAACTTTAAACTGCTAGTTTAACCCCTTAACGCCGTTACAGCGTTCTATGCCGTCGCGGCTTTAAAGGGCTTTAAAGCCGTTGCGGCGGCGTAGAACACCGTAACGGCTTAAGCCCCCAGGACCTCGGCGGTACTTAACTCCGCCGCGATCCTCTTCTGGAGGGCTGCCTGACAGCCCAGGCAGCCCTCCTCCGGCAAGTGAGGCCCCCGGGGGAACTGTCTGAAATATCACAGTCCCCCTGCTGGTGGAAAGTGTAAAAAAAAAAAAAAATTAGACATGTGTAAAAATAAATTAAAAGTATATATGTGTGGGTGTGTATATGTATGTATGTATATATATGTGTGTCTCTCTCTCTCTCTCTCTCTCTCTCTCTCTGTCATTATATATGTAACGTCATACAAAGTGTATTTTAATACTAATATTAGTATATATATTATTAAAATACACTTAGAATGACCGTACATATATATGTGTGTGTGTATATATAATAGTTATATACACATATATATACGTATAATTACAATAATAAATAAAATAAAAAACTATTGAAACAAAATTTTATATAAATTATATATTCATATGTAATTTCATTCTAAGTGTATTTTGTTATTAATATATATATATATGTAACAAAATACACTTAGAATGACATTCTATATATATATATCTATATATAAAATACAAATAACCGCAAATATATTTATATAGATAAATACATATAATTACATAAAAGATTACATTAGTAGACACGTAGAATTTAAATACCTATAAATGCATATATATTAAAATTCTACGTGTATATTTAAGTAATCTTTTAACATAATTATGTGATTTGATTAATTAAAATTTGATTGACATGCCTGACAACACAGGGAGAAAGTGCAGAGAATTTAATTCGCAAGCACTGTATTTGACCCTGTAACTCTCCAAGATACCATAAAACCTGTACATAGGGGGTACTGTTTTACTCGGGAGACTTCGCTGAACTCAAATATTAGTGTTTCAAACTGGTAAATTGTATTACAACGATGATATTTTAAGTAAAAGTGACCTTTTTTTCTACAAACAAACAGCACTTTTATGGACTATATTATTGTTTTAATATGTTTTCCTGTTTTAAAACACTAATATTTGTGTTTAGTGAAGTCTCCCGAGAATAACCGTACCCCCACATGTACAGGTTTTATGGTGTTTTGGAAGGTTAGAGAGTCACATATAAGGCTTGCATTTCTTTTTTTTCTTTTTTTTACATTGAAATTTGCCAGATTGGTTATGTTGCCTTTGAGACCGTATGGTAGCCCAGGAATAAGAAATACCCCCATGATGGCATACCATTTGCAAAAGTAGACAACCCAAGGTATTGCAAATGGGGTAATGTCCAGTCACTTTTAGTAGCCACTTAGTCACAAACACTGGCCAAATATTAGTTTTTTGCTTTTGTCACACAAAAACAAATATGAACGCTAACTTTGGCCAGTGTTTGTGACTAAGTGGCTACTAAAAAAGACTAAACATACCCCACGTTCAATACCTTGGGTTGTCTACTTTTTCAAATGGTATGCCATTATGGGGGTAATTCTCATTCCTGGGCTACAACACAGTCTCAAATGTAACACTACTAATCTGGCAAATTTCAATTTGAAAATGGAACGTTCTATATTTGACCCTGTAACTTTCCAAAACACCATAAAACCTGTTAATGGGGGGGTACTGTTGTACTCGTGAGACATCGCTGATTACAAATATGTGCTTTTTTTTGCAGTAAAACCCAACAGTATTATGACATTTACAGCTAAAATGTGAGGCGGAACTACAAATTTTTACAAAAAATGTAAAATTTATTAGTTTTTTAAATTTTATTCATAATAAATTGTTTCATATATAAATATTTGATATGAAATGAAAGCCCTATTTCTCCTGAACAAAATGATATATAATAAGTGTGGGTGCATTTAATATGAAAGAGGTGAATTACGGTTGAACAGACATATAGTGCAAATTCCTGTTTTTGTTTACGTTTTGTTTTGATAAGAACGTGTACTATTAACTTTGTCCTGAAGGGGTTAAAAACAAAAGCTGGCTCCTAGATTCCAAACAAATTTGTCAAGCCCTGGTCTATAGCCTGTTCCTACAGGCTTATCAGTGTAAACACTGCCTTTTCTGTTTACATTGCTGCTTAGTAACACCTCTAGTGACAGTCACTCAGACAGCCACTAGAGAGTCCTGGGTCACTGCTGCACCATGTGCAGCACCCACGTTCAGTGTCTCATTGCTCTGCATGGAAGCGCTGAATGTTCCTCATAGATTCATTAAGTTAATGAGGAGATACGGATTGGTACATTTGCTGCATGTACAAAATCCTCCCAATGCTTTCCTAAGGGAAAGCATCGGCTTCGCTGAGATCATAAAGATTGATATTCTCAGCCATGGAGGTGGTACCAGTCATGACGAAACTGGCACAGCATGGGAAAATGGGGGGGCAAAAGTGAGTAAAAACACCTCTCTCATGCGATCGGAGGGGGCAGGTACCTAAACGTACACACATACTTTGACAGGCTCACATACACACTCACGCTGACAAAAGGCTCACACACTCTTGACAGGCGCTCTCTCACACACACAGGCTCTCACTCACTCTGGATACTCTCACATTTTTGTTTTAAATAAACCCCACTCAGCCTCTTTACCTTTAGGAGAACTGAGTGGATCTTTCCCTGGGGTCCAGTGAGGCTGCTCTCTTCCTGCGTGCGAGGGAGCAGTAATCTTTCTGCAGCTCCTGTCTACTCCCTTGCACTCTTTGTAATGATGCCGGGGCTGGAGTGACGTCATATTCCGGCTGCTGGCATCATTAGACCGCACGAGGGAGCAAAGAAGAGCGGCAGACAGAGTACTGCTCCCGCGGACGGCCAGCTCCATGCTGCCTCAGCTGGCCGCCTCCATTCTCCTCAGGCGGCCAGGCCAATATTTCCCGTGGCGGCCACTGTCAAAGCTCCCTCGGCAGCCACACAAACTAGAGATCAGGCAAACACCAGGCGCCAGGGCGAAAATTTCTAGTCGCTGTGGTGACCGGACTCCTGTAATTTGTCGAGCCCTGCTTTTACTAATATGTTCTTGGGCAATAAAACACTCCCCAGCAGCCTTTGAGAAACAAGTCTCTTTGTGGTTAGAGGGGGTGCTGTTTTTTGTTTTTTTTGTTTTTGTGTTTTTTTTTTTGTTGTTTTTTGTTGTTTTTCTTTCCTTTTCCAATATCTACAATATATATTTAAATGGCCACTCCAGCTTTAACAATTTTCTCATGATCAAACTGTTTAACATGAATGTCTATTCCTGGACACACGTGCTGTGGCACCCCCACACCCAGGTTCACAATCTGCTTTTCAATGTATGTGTTTGTTAATGAGATTTAGCTCTAATCCTTCACTTATGTTCTGTACTGGAAAGTAAACTGTAGTAATCCATTAAAATACACCTGCTGCATTAAAAAAAAGGTCTTGGAACTTTTTAGCAGATTGAATTGTGCATAATCTAGTCTAGGGGTAGGCAACCTTTGGCACTCCAGATGTTGTGAACTACATCTCCCACAATGCTCTTACAGCTATAATGCTGGCAAAGCATCATGGGAGGTGTAGTCCAAAACATCTGCAGTGCCGAAGGTTGCCTATCCCTGCTCTAGTCTACCAGATGCTTATTTTAAATTATGTCAATTTGTACCATTTTGAACATACACATTGTGCACTTCTCCCTTCACATAGGGAAAAACACAGGCCATGTTTTGTGAAAGGGTACGGAAGCGTGCATTTACTGCATCATTTATATTGGTTGAGATGGATAGATGGACAGATAAAACATCTGAATTTGAAGATAATTTTGCTTTTGTAGTTTAATATGTGCAAATCTTGGGCCTGTTTCCGACTCGTAAAGTGAATAACTGAATGTATTTGAGGACAGGTTGGCTAACAAAGTGTATGTTAAATGATACCCGAAGCTGATTTTATTGTTCACATTGATGATTTATTCTCTATAATTTAATCCTATCTAGAAAATCTGAGAACCTGCTTCGTATCACTCAGAGTATCATTTCAATTATTCGATCTATAGCTCCAGCAATGTCAATGTCCTACTATCCAATTTTAGGTAGTAAATCATGTTGTTAATGAACATTGTTAATGAAATAAAGTTCCATTTTTTAAATATTTTAGGCAGTTGTAGAAACCCCTTTTTAATGGTTTCTTTCTTTCTCTCCTCTTCAGGTCGCATCTTCCACTATGTGCTGACTGTCTGTATTTACAGAAGATATATACGAAAGACAAACTTTATTTTGGAAAGTTTTTTTGATTCCAGTGGAATCTGTGCTTAAGCTCCCCCATACCCTTCGCTTTGCAAGCCCCTATCTTCCAAGTGGGACACTATGCCTGTACAAGCTCCACAATGGACCGACTTCTTGTCCTGTCCCATTTGCACCCAGACCTTCGACGAAACCATCCGGAAGCCCATCAGCTTGGGCTGCGGGCACACTGTCTGCAAGATGTGCTTAAACAAGCTTCACCGCAAGGCTTGCCCGTTCGACCAGACCACCATAAACACCGACATCGAGCTGCTCCCTGTCAACTCTGCCTTGTTACAGCTAGTTGGGGCTCAGGTAAGCATGGTCATACTTTTTGTGTACATTTAATTATGCATGTTTGTTCTCTATTACGGTTGTAGTTATTTTTTTACGAAGGAACAATCTAACTAAAACATTTTTTACTTGAGATCAACCGAATCTGATTTGTTTCACTGCCCAAGGATTTTCATTCCAATGGTGTTTAAACTTTGAACTATTGCGCATGTTGTTCCTAGTCTACTTGTGAGAGAAAAACAAGTAGCAAGAGAGGTGAAAATGGACAACAGCTCAATTAGCCTGTCCTTCGGTGGATCCCTGCTCAGATCTCAAGCTGGTTTTAGCTAATCTATGTCAGGTTACCTTATGTATCAATCAGGAGCATGTCACAGGCTGGCACCTAGGGACACTCCTACTAACTTTCAGCTTGTCCCTAGCGATTTTCACGCCAGCCGCAATAAACCCACCTCCTTTTATGACACGACTAATGAGCACCGACATCATGACACTAAGAACTAGAACATTTTAGGGGCGTAGTTACCTACCTAACTGAACACAGTGTTTAAAGAGAAACCAGGGAGAGACTCATTGTCCTGTTGTGGTTCTTGTTTGACCCATGAGCATGTATTCCGTATTGGTGTTCTTGTATTATTTCTTTGGCTTCGTTTGACTATTCCTCCTTTTGTGTTCCTATGACCTCGGCTATTGCATTATCGTTGATCCTGATTTCTTGTACCTCTGCCTCTGCTCGCTGCTTGACTATTCTTTGTGTGTGTCGTGTTAGTCCAGCCATCCTAAGGTCCGGTATATATTACTAGTATTTGCATTCTGCATGTAGGATTCCCGATCGTTCCTGACAATCTAGTTCCATGAAAGAGAGAACATACCTGAAGCATATCAGACTGGTCCCACCCGTACGGGCAGTCCAGATCCGAAATGCCAGCAAATTTCCTCACAGCAACCCCAGACAATCGTTTCAACCTTGTGAGGTATCATTAGTGAAGTATAGCCAATATCCCTCTAGGCACCGTGAGCAAGGGGTCCACGTCTGGATTGCCCTTTAAACTTAAGGAGAGAAAAATAAGTAGCAAGAGAGGTGCCATGACATAGAGAACATATCTGAAGCATATCAGACTGGTCCTACCCGTATGGACAGTCCAGATCCGAAATACCAGCAAGTTCCCTCTGCACGAGGGAACTGCTTGTGACACAAATAGTTCACTAGTGACTGAAACACATTTCAAAACAAAATCAGACCAGCTAACTTGCATGTATTGAGACAACACTAGTGTGTCTATGCTGTTTGTTTCAGAATTGTACCCATGCATCACAACTGTGCTTCACTAGCTAGTGAACCACATCAAAGACAGGGTGAAGCTTGATACTGTATATTTGAAGTTCACATTCTTCCATTTTTTGAATGACTGTTGGTCACTTGAGAGCTGGATACAGCTATTGTACACAGTATCTTGTGTCACATGTGACTCTGGGAAGTTTACAGCGGTTTTCTAGTTCCCAGAGGTTCCAGAAGCAGAGCAGTATGTACTCCGCTACACAGAGCTACATTTTCAGCAAGTACTGAATAGCGCAGCATCTTGGTAGCTGTCACTCTAGGAATGAGTGACGTAAATTTGCTATAGTGTAAATTGCGGGAGGGTAAAGCTGTGCACATACACCAGCAAGTGTTGACACACAAACTGTCATTCCACACATACAGACCCCTGCAATCACACTTGCATTGACACTCCATGCAAATTCTCCTCCATTCAAAGGTATACATTCCAGACTGTGAATCAAAAACAAGATGCCTTCTGTGTAAATTTATTTTCGTGACTACATTAGGACATACATTTTTTTTGATCCCTACAAATAGAGCTTTTTGACAATAAACACCAGGGATGTTTGGCGCACACAGAGAGGTAGCCACGTGAAAAAGCACACACAATTAAATATGGTTGTGGCTCTTTAATGTTTTGGGGCCTTTATTCTGCCATAGGACCTGAACATTTTGTTAGAGTCCATGATGCCATGTATTCTATCAAATATCAACAGATATTAAATAAACTGTCTTTATCAGAATGTTTAAAACGGGCTGTGGTTGGATCTACTAGTAGGACAATGATCCAAAACCAAAGCATACATCAAAATCAACACAAACATTGTTTACTGACCACAAAATCAAGGCTCTGCTATGGCCATCCCAGTCCCCTGACTTAAATCCCATAGAAAACCTCTGAGGTGAACTGAAGAGGAGAGTCAATCAGCATTGACCTTAAAATTGTAAGGGTCTGGAGATAGTCTGTATAAAGGAATGGTCTTTGATCCCTCACCATGTATTCTCCAAATTCAACAGGATTTATATGAGAAGACTTAGAGCTGTTATCTTTGCAAAGGGAGGTAGCACAAAATATTGACTAAACAATTTTTAGCTCATATTTTCCAAGGGTGCCTATATTAGTGGAGGGCAATGTACATACAAAATAAATTCCCTTTCAATCATATGTGACAACACATCGTGTTTACTTACTAATTTTATATTTCCTGCACTGTTAATTAAACGGAAATTGCACACAGGGAGCTCTTGCAGACTCTAGCAAGCCATTATCAGAGAAAGAGATACAAAATTCTAAATTAAACACACTGCAATAAAGGGTAATTAGGGTAAACTTGTTTTGGTGCTTTTAGTGTCCCTTAACAACAAAGGGGCTTTTTGTGTTTTTAGTTTAAGTAAATGGCACAAATGTAAGTATAAGCATTAGTCATAGGGTCAAACAATTTGACAAGTAAATCAAGCCCACTCAAATTTATTTCATGTGTGAAGGTAGTATTCCCCCCCTCATATATTTATTTATTTTTAAATAAGCCATCTCATAGACAACATTGAGAAATCTCCTAAAAGTAACTTAATTTTTTTTGTTGTGTGTGTATGTACTGGCCATCATAAATGCTCTTCCCAACCATGGTATCTTAAATACCGCATATACTCGAGTATAAGACAAGTTTTTCGGCACATTTTTTGTGCTGAAAACCCCCACTCGTGTTATACGCGAGTCAATGTCTGTATTATGGCAAGTTACATTGCCATAATACAGACCAGGACCGCCGGGCTCATTACAAGCCCGGCGGTCCTGTTGGGGGCTGGCAGAGAGCTGTAACTTACCTTTCCTGCAGCTCCTGTCCGCTCCCTTCTCTCTCCTCCGGTCCGGTCAGCTCCCTTGCAAGTCTCGCGAGAGCAGTGGGGTCAGATCGTTGTCACACCGTGAGACTTGCAAGGGAGCTGACTGGACCGGAGGAGAGAGAAGGGAGCTGACAGGAGCTGCAGGAAAGGTAAGTCACAGCTTCCTGCCAGCCCCCCTCCTACACAGCCCATCCACTGGACAACCAGGGAGTGAGAGCCACCCTCCCTGGCCATGTATCAAGCAGGGAGGGGGGTGGGGGGGAAGAAAATAAATAAAAAAATTAATAATATTGAAATAAAAAAAATATTAATTTAAAAAAAATAAAAATGCCCACCCCCCACCAATGCTCTGAATTCATACACACACTGCATTCATATATACACACACACACACTGCATTCATACACACACACACACTGTAAATAAATATTAAATTAATATAATTTTTTGGGGGATCTAATTTTATTTAGAAATTTACCAGTAGCTGCTGCATTTCCCACCCTAGTCTTATACTCGAGTCAATAAGTTTCCCCATTTTTGGGGGGTAAAATTAGGGGTCTCGACTTATTCGGGTCGACTTATACTCGAGTATATACGGTACTTATGTATTGATACTAATGACAATATTAAAGGGATCCTATAGTGCCAGGAAAACAAACCTGTTGGAGTGACCCCCTCCCTTAAAACCCCTTCAGCCACTTACCTTAATCCGGCGCTGGTGACCTCTCCTCCCCCACCGACATCAGATCCCAAGTGGAGCCATGTGCACGGCCAGAGATGTGCGCGCATTCAAACCCGCCCGTAGGAAAGCATTACTATGGGGATCGTATTTGACTCTGGACTCCGTAAGCACGTCCAGCGTCAAATAAGTGCGATTTACTCTGTGTAAATTGCTGAAGCGCCCCTAGTGGCTGTCAGGGAGACAGCCACTAGAGGCTGGATTAACCCTGCAATGTAAACAGCAGTTTCTCTGAAACTGCTATGTTTTCAGCTGCAGGGTTAAAACAAGGTGGACCTGGCACCCAGACCACTTCATTGAGCTGAAGTGGTATGGGTGCCTATAGTGGTTAATATTTTATTTATTCTGTTGTGAGCTTTCAGAGTAACTGCACTGTTTCTTAGATAATGCTTAGCATCACTTTGGGAAACATACTTTTGTTTTTTCTCCGAGGGATTCACTGCTATATTTGTCTTGTTACATAAGTTGGTTTGGGTGAGGGGCCCTCTAGTAAGCCTAAATGTACATTCAGACCACCTACATACTCCACAGTCCTCTTCTTTATGTGTACGTTAGGTTGGCGTGACGCCTACGCATACAGTTTTAGAACCGTTAGAGCTTTTCCCTTTTTTTTTTTTTTTTTTAAAGGCCACTGTGAGAATGGCATTTCTTTCCCTTCTCTAAATTTGTCACACATTTGTCTGTCATGTTCCTTTTCTAGGTTGCAAAATAGAAATAAGCCAAGTGATATGAGTAGGTTTTTTTGTTGTTGTTTTTTCATTCATTGTGACAAACTGTAGTGCACTTTTAAAGGTTTTAATCACAAATGCATAACAAAATAACTTTGTAAAATGTCCACATGCGTTTCTAAATTTAGTGGTGCAAAATGTCAAGATAGATATCAGAGAATGGTGTGGTGCTGCAATATTCTAAGTAAAAATATCATGTGGCATATATGTAATACAACTACAGTCCAGCTCCACATACCAGTCGAGGGAATTCATTTCTAAAAACAGAGCATTAATAGATCACAGATGCACTGTATGGACAAAAGTATTGGGATATATTTTTTAATTATTCAGTTCAGGTGTTTCAGTCAGACCCATTGCCACAGATATATAAAATCAAGCTCCTAGCCATGCAGTCTGCATTTACAAACATTTCTGAACAAAATGGTAGTTCTGAAGAGTTCAGTGAATTCAAGCTTGGTACTGTGATAGGATGCAACCTTTGCAATAAGTCAGATTGTGATATTTCATCCCTGCTAATCAACGCTGTGCTGATTCTATAGCCTAGGAGTTCCATAGTTCCACTAGCATTAATATCAGCGGCCGGAGCTACATGGAATGGGTTTCCATGGCTGAGCAGCTGCATGTACGCCTCATGTCTCCAAGTACACTGCCAAGCGTTGGATGAAGTGGTGTAAAGCACACGGCCACTGGACTCTGGAGCAGTGGAAACATGTTCTGTGGAGTGACAAATTACACTCCTCTGTTTGGCAGTCTGATTGGAGAGTCTGAATCTGGAGTATTGCAAGAGAACATTAGCTAACTGACTGACTGCATTGTGCCAACTGTAAAGTTTGGTAGAGGAGGTATAATGGGGCTATTTTCATAGGTTGGGCTTCCAGTGAAGGCAAATCTTACTGCTTCAGCATACCAAGACATTTTGGACAATGCTATGCTTCCAATGTTGTGGGACCAGTTTGGGGAAGTCCATTTTCTCTGATTGTGCCCCAGAGCACAAAGCAAGGTCCATAAAGACATGGTTAGATGAATATGGTGTGGAAGAATTTATTTTTATTTTTATTATATATATTTAGTTTTTATTGAGATTTTTCACTTATGACAGACATTGTACATTTAGAACATAGGTAGTTCATTATGTCATGAATGGTGCGATATGCTTGGTTTGGTAAAGCCTGGCTATTTAAGTTAACAATGTGCAGTACTGGTTATCAGAGCTGTGTGCCCCCACTTTATTCCATATGTGTGATGTGGTCTCTTCATCTGGTTATTTGGAACGAGTCAGGGGCCGTTATGGTATTTTTATATGTGGTAGGGGTATCATTTCCATGTCTTCGTGTTAGTGCTGGGCGGTACAATCTCTGTCTCCCTCGTGCTAAGCTACGGTGGTCGTGCGTCTGAGGTTTGGCAGTGGCTGTCCGTATGTATCTTGAATGCATGGTCTGTTCGTGGTTGGGTTTGTTGTGTTCTGGCCCGTCTCGATGAAATGTGTTCTGGGTGGGTGTTGCTTCCGTGGTGTCGTGTGTGTGCGTGGCTTGAGCTCCTGCATTTGCGTGTGTGGTGTGTGTCGTCCTGCCGTGGTGTGTTTTTCTGGTTCTGTGTTCTAAGTGTGTTAATTATAAGTGTGTTCGGTGTTGCATGTACTGTCTGTTGCTCTGTAGTTCACTGGGGAGTCCATTCTTTTTAGCTCTTTACTTTCCGTACCTGTAATCTGTCACTGCACTTTTCTATTCGGCTCGTAGTGAGTCATATTGGTGTGGTTGTTTAGGTTGCGCCCCCCGTCACCTCCGTTCAGCTCACTCTCTGTTGGAGTGGGAAGGGTCAGGTGGGGGATGTGGAAGAATGTGACTGGCCCGCACAGCGCCTTGATCTGAACCCCATTGAACACCTTTGTGATTAAGTGGAACGAAGAGTGTGAGCCAGCTCTTCTCGTCCAACATCAGTGACTGAAAAGTGGTGACCAACTCCATATTAATATGGATTTAGAATGCGAAGTGATGAGTCCCTGTTGGTGTAATGGTCAGGTGTCCTAATACTTTTGTCCATATAGTGTATGTTTTATGTTCCTCAGGAGTCTGCAGATCTCATTTAGTGAGATCCTACCTGCAGGTTAGCTGGATGGCAAAAGCAATCTTTGCAGTGAGGGATAAATAGTTGGTTTGAATAGTAAGGCTTTTGGTCTTATAACCATTTCATCTCATTTAATTGGTTATTGTGCCTGGTTTCACCAGGTGTTGTCCCTCCATTCAGTGTTACACTATTTTCCAGCAGTTTGACACTGAATGAGGGTCCCTGGCCACCCACATTCCGGTGCCTTATGGAGGTGTGGCTAAACAGACTATTACAAACTTCATTCTAGCCATAGCAATTCATAACAACACTGGGGGTTGTCTTGGGCTAAAAGCAGTCAGCTGGCACACTCATCCATTCACAGTCACCTATTGCTGCTTAGGCTAATGCTGCCTCATTATCCCAAGGAACACAGGGGATGGGTTGCAGTGATCTGTTGGCATTAAAATATTAAAAATGTTTTTTTTGCTGATGGAAGTATGGATCCAGGGAACTCCAGACACTGCAACCACTTAAATGAGATGACCCAGTCACAATGCCTATAGTGACCCTTTAACATTATGTTTCCCATGATAGATTTTACCCTCTATGCCTTCAGTAATAGAGCTATACTAGCTCTAAAAAGTGTGAATGTTCATTTGGCACTATAATTTTAGTTAAGTTCTAATGTGCTGCACTATATTTTTTTTCTTTTTCTCTGTCTATACATCCTGCGAAAGTTTCCTCCACTTTTTGTATGTAAATCTCCATTGTATTTTCACTATGCGCAGTTCACCACTTTGTATATATTTGCTTGCTTTTCACAAGGTTGTGGGACCTCCTTGAAGGTTGATTGTTGCTGCTAATTAGATAGTGCCTTATCACCTATTCCTGAGAATGGATTACAGCAGGGGTTTATGAAAATCACTTTTATTATTATTTTATTATTTATATAGTGCCATCAAATTCCGTAGCGCTGTACAATGATACAGCTGTAAGCCAGACCTTTAGATCTCTCCACCAGGAAGCCTTTAATGCCAAGTTTTTGTTTGTATCAAAATTATTTATGTGGTATAACTTGAACTTGAGCTATTTCCTTCCTGGATAGAGAGTGCGTTCACAGACTGTGTCTCTGCTGATTGACACATTTAGTGCAGCTCACTAAGCTGATTATGTAGAGTGATAGCAGCTGTGGTATGACTGTTCTCACTTTACAAAGCACTTCTACTCATCCTAAATGAGTGCCACTGCTTCGGTGATATTATTTATTTATTTATAAAATATTTTACCAGGAAATATTAAACCACTAGTCCCTTAAACACCTGCTGGACAGGAGCTTGTAAGGCAAGAAAAGACTCCATAGGTTTAAGTGTCTCTTGTTAATCAAACACGGGTCTGCCTGTAGCCAAAGGCAGACCCACTAACATTTTCATCTGCAAGGAAATTTGTTTTTGTTTTGTTTTTTTAATAGTTTTTAATGCATTATCTATGAAATGCATTGAAAATTGCATAATTTTCCCTATAGTTTCCTTTTATTACTGCTGAATTAGCGTCAAAACAATACACAAATATGTTGTATCACCATAAGAACTTCAAGGTAGATTACCATGTTCATGCTGTGTTATGTAAGTATCACAACAGTTGTTTTGCCATGGTGCCTATTGAGTGTAAATCAGTCATCTTGCTGTTGCTGGAGAACAGCCCTATGAGTAGTAATTAAAGAAGATTCAGGTGAGGATTGATTGAGATTTGAAAGTCAATTCGATATCCATAACTGTTGGAAAGTTTGGGTATGAGTCAAGACCAAATGGCAACTGTATTTGATATTCAGTGGCCTTTCTTACCAGGTTTGCTGTGCTTGAGCTACATTCTCAGGTTTTGCTATAACTGCTTTCCTGTTCTAGAATTTTCAAATTTGCCTTTTTTTTTCTCCCCCAGGTACCTGAGCAACAGCCGGTCACTCTGTTTGGCGGGGCCGAAGACAACAAGCACTATGAGGAGTCCAAGAAGTGTGTTGAAGAGTTGGCACTGTACCTGAAACCCCTGAGTACTGCCAGAGGTAAGAGAGGCAAAATAGTAGTCATAGGAAATGTCCTTTTATACTGAATGAAAATTAACAACAAACATTATTCACAAAATGGAGTTTACTCATCTGATTGGGTTGTATGGTTTTTCCAATGAAGGGTGAACATAATCCATTGTAATTCACTGCGGGAATCAAAAATTTGTAGTCCAACAGTATGGGAAGGTTGGGCTACTAAGTACAGAAGTTCAGTTGTATATGTTTGTGCTTTTTGCGGTGTCATTATGACACTTTAAAGTATTTCAATATACGTGCCTTTATTTATAAAAGTTAAAACTAGGGTTTTCCAGGCACTCTAGCTCCCTTTGGTCACTTACTTGAGTCCAGCTACGATGTCTCTTAGCAGTGGCTCGGGCTCCTCCGCCAGCGGGGGAGACTCAATGCACATGCGCAGCAATGGCCGCACTTGCATTAGTACTTCCCCCACCGCTTTCCTAAGGTGTTTTGAGTGACGCTGGATGTCCTCATGCATACCATGAGGACGTCCGGTGTCAGGCAACCATAAATCCCCTAACAACCTGGAAGCCCCTCTAGTGGCTGTCTGGTAGAAGTGGAGTTAACCCTCAAAGGTAATTATTGCATGTCTTAGCAGCTAATCATTCACAATAATCCATGTATTTTGCTATTTATGTAGTAGTGACAGATAAATATATTTTCCTTTATGATGTATATTCTTTTTTGCTTCTTTTTTTATCCAGGAGTTGGCCTAAACAGCACTGCTCAGAGCGTGTTGAGCCGCCCCATGCAAAGAAAGCTTGTGACACTCGTGCATTGCCAGCTGGTGGAAGAGGAAGGACGTATTCGAGCAATGAGAGCAGCCCGCTCGCTGGGAGAGAGAACCGTCACAGAACTGATACTTCAACATCAAAATCCTCAACAACTCTCATCCAATCTCTGGGCAGCAGTTCGTGCACGCGGCTGTCAGTTCCTAGGACCAGGTGCGGCACTCAACTCAATTTAATCTGTCTGTGTCTTTAAAGAGGCACTATAGGCACCACTATTATTATTATTATTATTATTATTGGTATTTATTTTTGCCAGTTTATTCTGCCGCGATTTACTAACCTCTTAATCTCATTGGCATTGTTATGGTGCCTTGAATCTCCTGTTCACAGCTCACATTTCATTGTCGGGTTTAACAGTGAATCACTGAGCAATGCCAAGGAGCATAACTACTTCAATGAGATGAAGTGATTATGGCAAGTAGATTATATTTTTAATGTTTTTTGCACAGTCTTAATTATTTAAACTTTGTATTTGTGTTCAGCCATGCAGGAAGAGGCCCTGAAGCTTGTCCTCTTGGCTCTAGAAGATGGATCTGCTCTTTCGCGAAAAGTTCTGGTTTTGTTTGTGGTGCAGAGACTGGAACCACGCTTCCCGCAAGCCTCGAAAACTAGCATTGGGCATGTTGTCCAGCTGCTATACAGAGCCTCCTGCTTTAAGGTACTGATTTTGCTTGTCTCACTTGATTTTTCTATTGATTAATGAGTGCCATTTTATTAGAACTTGTATGTTAAGAACATCTTATGTTTTGGAAATATAGTCACATTGTGACTGCAACTCCATTCATATACAGGAAGCAATATTCAGAACATTTATAACATGATCTATGGAACTTTGCCCTTTTTATAACTTTTGATCGAGATATGGTATTTTTAGCCCCTGCATTGTCATCCAGTAATCCCAGGCGTTTAACAGAGAATGGTAAAATAAATAAAAATTACAGTGAGAAATAGTTCAGTTGGTAAAAGTAAAAAAATAGAAAAATAAAAGAATCATAGCCAGATTTGCCCAAGCTAGTAGAAAGGAACATCAGTATTATTGCAGTATTTTTTTCTAATATATCATTATAACAAGTATTTTCATAGTCCTTTTCTTGTTGTGTTCCAGTATTCTCAAGGGCTAGAATATATAAAATGTTTTGAGTAATGGTGGATACAACCTTATCCTTCTTTTGCCTCATTGAAAATATGTGCATTTTATTTATTATTTCAGGTCACAAAGCGTGATGAAGACTCTTCCCTAATGCAGTTGAAGGAGGAATTTCGCACTTACGAAGCACTGCGCCGAGAGCATGACTCGCAGATTGTGCAGATCGCTATGGAGGCCGGCCTGCGCATAGCTCCTGACCAGTGGTCCTCCCTCTTATATGGGGATCAGTCTCACAAATCTCATATGCAGTCCATTATTGATAAGGTAACCGCCTCTTTCCTCTCCTTGCCTACATTGGCATGACTTATTTGTGGCATTCAGAGAAAACCAATAGGAATTTGCTGAATTGAATGTGCTTAAGCATTCGCCCTTTAGCTTAATGAACAGATATACATATTATTACCCAGCGAGCTGTTGCTTCTAGTAGCTTTTTAATAGCTTAATTTATGTTCTAATTCCCATCCCAATTACTTTGAGTGAAGTTACAAGCAGCATATTAAAAGGGCACTGGATGACGGAGCAACATTTATTATAGTGCTTTGTGTTGCTTTAATGGTAAAAATTTTTTCTTATGTTTAGTACTCCATACTCTCTTAGAGAGAGACTTATTTTGAAGCACAGTGCCTGTGCCCAGCATGTTTATCAGGCACCAATTCTAGTTAATTTATTACAAGAAAGGTTTTGTTAAGTTGCAGACCCCGGCCTCGTTTGCTCAGAGTGTCCAGGAACTGACCATTGCACTGCAAAGGACTGGAGACCCTGCTAACCTCAACAGGCTACGGCCACACCTGGAACTGCTCGCAAACATTGATCCAAGCCCAGGTAAGAACACACCAGATTCTTTGATGTTCTTTGCGAAATCTGAAGACTGTGAAGTTTGTTGCTTTCAGCCCTTGAATATATCATTTTAGAATGCACTATTCCATAAACATGTAATTTTTACATTTTTCCTATTAGTGTTGATGTTAATTGAAAAAACAATATTACTATTATATCATATATTATTGCAGAGGGGCTTGATAGCGTTCTTTCTAACATTATAGGGTTCCTTTAATATTTTTATTTATTGTCTTCTTGTAGCTCTCATTACCTGCTTTGTCTGAAATACAAATAATTTCTAATGCATATCACATGATTTAAAATTTCCACTTGCGACTGGCGAGTGAAAAATGTAGCTCTGAGGAGTGTGCTTAAACCCTCTCCTTCATTTACTGCTGTTTATACAGTTTGTATAACTAATATTCACAGCTTCTCAGGATTGAGGTTGAACAACCAGTAGCTACATTTTGGATGTATATTAAGTTGTGCTAAAATTGAGGAAGTAATAGTTCCTCTTTAAGAATCGGTAAGCAGCTCTGAACCCACCCATCCTTTTGTCACTTCTCTTGCCCTCCAAGTGACTAGTGGAATTTTTAAATTTCATTATTTTCTTAATTCCTTTTTCTGGCTCTTGGGAATAGACAGAGCAATGCTTGACTACGACAACGGTTAAACAAAAGAGTGGAGGCCCCAATAGATGCAACTTGAGTTTTTTGTTGTTTTTTAACTCCTACCTTTATTATCTATTTCACTGTGTAGCTGACTGTTTAAAGCTCTGCAGAGATTCTGAAAATTATTTATTTAGTCTTCAACCAGTCCTCACTCAACATGCACTGTGCTAGGAGTACTTCAAACCCTGGAACAAACAGACTGCATGCTTTTCAGACATCCCAAGACTCTCAGGACACAGAGAGAACTCCTCACTCCTCTTCTCCCATTATGTTAATGGAACATAGTTAACTTTTAAACTGAGATTAACTTTTGCCTTGCGTACTACTATTAAGACCATTTTATTTGTGTTATGGTAATAAAATTGTAAATGTATTGCAGAAAGGTTATTTGGAATTCTTTTTACTTCATTTAACTTTGCTGCTACATTACTGGCAAAGTGGTAAAGGCTACAAATATGGAGTTCACATGCAACTTTAACCTTCAACTTCAAGTATTCCTTGTGTGCTTGGAATTGTTAGGTGTTATGCAGGTCATTAGGAGTCAGGTTGACTACATGCTTGTACAATGCTGTTGCCCTTTCCTTTTCACCAGTCTGGCTGCAAAAGGTGGTTTGCAGTGGGGGGAGTAACTTCAAGCTTGCCTAGTACCGTAGGACTTGAAATTCAGAATCCTGGAATTACTACTGAACTTCTAATTATCTGAATGCAAGTTATAACCTTGGATTACTGATCCATTAAGAGCATTTTGTTCTTTTAATTTCTTTGTCCAAGTTTTGACATTAGTGGTGTTCCCTTACAGATGCTCCACCTCCAACATGGGAGCAACTTGAAAATGGTCTGGTAGCAGTGAAGACTGTGGTGCATGGGCTGGTGGATTACATCCAGAATCATAGCAAGAAGGGGACTGACCAGCAGCAGGTGAGCGAGGCGAGGCACTACCTCATGTCTCAGGTACCCAGCTAAACTATGTTTCAAACCATTGCACTTTGGGGATTGATAATGAGCTAGTTACACTTGCTGTGGTGAAGGAATAAAATGGGCACATTTTCATTTGTTGTTATGTTACACTTATCACTATTAATTGAATGTTTTTGGTGTATCGGTATTTGGCACACTGTACAGAGAAATGACTGATCGAAGTGTTGGAAGTAGCAAGTTGTTTGATCCTGGCCTCATTATTTCCTCTTGTTTTTATATGTAATATTTTCCAATATCTGTAGCATCACTCTGGTCTAGTCTGTCCAAACATTCTTTCCCTTTCTATAAGATTTAAACATTCCTTCATTTTGTTTTCTCTTCATCACCAGTAAAGGAGCACTCTGGGCACCATAACAACTTAGTTGGATTAAAGTTATGTGCGTAGCGGTCCCAGTTTCCTGCTTACCCTCAGGAATTAAACAAACGGTTTAACCCAGTTTTCAGCACTCTGAAGCCTGTAAGCTCCTGTCCCCTCACTTCCTTCCTAGCCCAAGGCTTCAATAAGGGAGTCTTGAACCAGGCACCGTTGATAAGTATACACCGTCAGCTGACTCTCTCAGCCTATCCGTAGCTTCCCTTTCACAGATCAGAAAGGAAAAAGGTACTTCTGATACGGTTATGGTACCTAGAGTGGTCCTTAAATCTACCTTTATTTATTTTTTTTCAGTGTTTCTCTTTTCCGTGTCTTTTTCTCCATTTGTCTGTTGCTAAACCATGCTGAACGGTTTTGTTTTTTTCTACAGGTGGATTACCTGTCAGATTATTATTATTTTTTTTAAACCCTAGAAATTTCAAAATACATAGGCTTAAAATTTAGCATTTTAATGTTGCTTCTTTTTGGTACACTGTCCAAACTTGCGTGAGTGTACAGAGCACAAGACGGCAAATGTCCTTCTTCAGTACACAGTACAAGTTCAAACGGAAATTGCTAGGCTGCAACTCATCCTTACATTGCTGCTATAAATGCTTATTCATAGATTGAATTAAATATCAGTTTGGATTGGTGGTTTTGCCCTTCAAATTGGCCACTTTAGTAGTACTCAGATTTTTTTTGATGTACGCATAACGCTTTTTTAAACGTGTAAATTGCTTTACCTTTCTAAATGTTTATAAATGTTGTATGTTGCTCACTAAAATGTAACAGTATTATTAACTGTAATTTGGTGGAATGACAAAATTGTTCCTTTTGTGTTTGTGTGCCTTTTCCATCCATCATAAAAACATGAATGACCACCATTTTAAATACATATTCTGTTCAAAGAAATGAACATACTTGTAGATGGCAATAGTGATATGTGAATGAATGGTTGCAATACTTAACTGTCTGCTTTCGTGTTTGTTTTAGCCTCCCCAGCACAGCAAGTACAAGACTTATATGTGTCGAGATATGAAACAGAGGGGAGGATGCCCCCGTGGGGCAAGCTGCACCTTTGCTCATTCTCAGGAGGAGTTGGAAAAGTAAGTGGACTTGTTGGGGCAAGTGTGCTGCCCTTTATTCTTCTTAAAAATGTGTTGCGATAACACACTTTTAATTCGTGAAAAATGTGCTTGTGGCAAGTGCACTGTTGTATTAATGTAGTCATTCCATATGGATTGTATCACACGTAAGGTGCGATAGTGACTCAAAGTGCAGCCATCCATAACTCTCAGGCATTCCGTAGTACAGTTTGCGGCATGCACTTGATACAATCCCTGGCTTTCTATGCACTAGAAGTTCAATATATAACATAAATGTTTTGGAAAAGTTCCAGACGTAGAGTCAGCAGGAGAATGGTTTTTGGTTTCCATGGCATTTGTTCCAATTTTAGAATCCACCACATTTACTCTTTCTCTGTAACGCCTGCTGATGGTTGAAACATCAGGCTTTCTATAGTGTGTTTACCTTTTTACACTTGAAGGTGTATGTGCTGTTACCTGGTTTTATTGATTTATACAGTTACAACTAGAAACAAAATCTGCTTTGTAGTCAATTTTTGGTTATTTCTCTTTTCATGTTTATACAAGTTTGTGTAAATAATTTTTCTTTTATGTGATTGATGAGCCCTTAAGGGATATACAAGTTCCCACTGATAAATCGTGGCAAACACTTCTCGATTTGCTTTTTGATGAAACTGATCTCTATTTTGTAGGTTTCGTAAAATGAACAAACGGTTGGTTCCTAGGCGGCCCCTGAGTGCCTCTCTTGGTCAGCTGAACGAAGTGGGGCTTCCTTCTGGGACAATACACTCAGACGAGGGGCCAATGGACCTACCGACCCGCAAGCAAACTGGCCTTCCCAATGGCATTGTGACTGGAGGCTCTGTGACACAGCTCATCTCCAGGGGAACAGACTCCGGCTTTGAATCAGTCCTGAAGCCAGTAAAATTGGATCACCTAAGCAACAGTGCACCAGGTTCCCCTCCAGAGTTGTATGTATCTATTTTTTGAGAATTGTTTCTTTGATTTGTTGACAATAACCATTAAAATTGTGTTACTAGCTGGAACATGCAACCCCTCCTTATTAAGAAAGCAGCATGATATTCTTTTCTTCTGCTTCATATTATGGCCATTGAAGTCACCCCAGATGTTAGGAAAAAAAGAAAGTAGGGGGAGCTCTGCTCTTACATTAACATGGTACCCCAGACAATGCATTGACCATGTATTTGATAAATCAATGTTTAGAGTGGGCATACACAACTTTTAGCACTGTTCATACCAAATGAACTGATAGATTACATTGCATGCCGTTAACTTTTATTTACACGCATTACAGAAATTAGACTTCTTGTTGTAATCTTTAGATAATCCAGACCTGTTTTATTTTTCTTAATCTGCTCCAGATTGGATTCTGTTCCGAAAACTCCCATTGCTGCCTTACCTGGCAATTCCCACCAACAACCTCCTCGTGTTTCTGGAGATATGCAACAACTGCCTGTGTCTAAACAGTTCCAGATGGTGCCACGGAGCTCCCAAATTTATGCTCCTCCACAGACTGATATGCTATACCAAGATCCTCGTGGAAGTGGCCCCCCATTTGAAGCTACCTACCCTCAAAGTAATTAATCTAATTTTCTATTTATAACGTCTTTTTTCATTACTGTGTTACATGACCCTTAGTGGAGCAGCAATGCAGATCTATTATGAGGTCTAATTAATTCGGTTTCAGCAGTCATTGAAGCACCATTTCTATGCGCTCTTTTATCTCCCTTTACCTGCACCATGCTAATTAAGTTCATGTGTGAATACTGCACACTGTCCTACATCCATATATTTGGAGGTGTGGAGAAGGAACGGGTAGGAGGCTGTGCCAGAAGGTGCAGTAACAGTGGTGAAGGAGAAGGTCTGTCTATGTATTGGTTGAACCTGAATGAAAAGTGTCTGCAGTGTGTGCATGGCAAACTCTCTAACCATTTCTCTAGCAAAGCTTCACCACCCAGAATGCCATTGAAGCTCTTTGAGCTTGACCTGAGGGTCCTGAGAATATTCTTTACTGTGTGTGTCTATGGATGCACTCACACTTATATGGGCACCTTTCCCTGATGTCCCCAGATGCAGGACATCAGGGAACAAGCCTGGGAGATTTGACAGAACCCTGGATTTGGGGCTTTTGGAAAGTATACTGATCAGCCACAGCATCATAGTGTATGTCCCCCTTGTGCTGTCAAAACAGCTGTGATGCATCAAGGCAGGGACTCCACAAGACCTCTGAATGTGTCGTGTAGTATCTAGCTTCATGACACGAGCAGCAGATCTTTTAAGTTCTGCTAGATGCGAGGTGGGGCCTTCATGGTTTGGGCATTTTGTTCCAGCACATCCCACAGATGCTCAACTGCATGACCCATGATTCTGATGCTTTTTTTACTGGCTGTCCTTCCTTGCAGCACTTTGTGTATGTCCTAATAACTGCAGGCTGGATACACCCCACAAGACTTGCTGTTTAGGAAATGCTCTGACCCATCGTCTAACTATCACTATGTGGCTCTTGTCATAGTCACTCAGGTCTTTTCGCTTGCCCTTTTTTTCTGCTTCTAGCACATGAAATTCAAGAACTGATTGTTCATTTGTCGCCTAATACAAGTGGCATTGTAACAATGTAATCAATGTTATTCGCTTCACCTGTTAGTGGTTTTAAAGGACCACTATAGTGCCCTGAGGGTGCCCACACCCTCAGGGTCCCCCTCCCGCCGGACTAGATGGAGAGGAAGGGGTTAAACTTACCACTTTCTCCAGCGCCGGGCGGGGAGCTCTCCTCTTCGGCTGTATGCGCATGCGCGGCAGGAGCTGCGCGTGCATTCAGCCAGTCCATAGGAAAGCATTCAGAATGCTTTCCTATGGACGCTGGCGTCTTCTCACTGTGAAAATCACAGTGAGAAGCGCGGTAGCCCTCTAGCGGCAGTCAATGAGACAGCCACTAGAGGCTGGATTAACCCACTTATAAACATAGCCGTTTCTCTCGAAACGGCTATGATTATAGAAAAAAGGGTTAAACCTAGCTGGACCTGGCACCCAGACCACTTCATTAAGCTGAAGTGGTCTGGGTGCCTATAGTGGTACTTTAACGTTGTGAATGATCATTGTAGGCAATGTTGTTTTGATAGACTTAAACGTGTATTTGTGTAATGTGTGACACCCTTGGTCATTATACAATACGGTGATCATTTGTTATAAAATTTCAAGTCCGGGGCGGGGCCTGACAGCCAACCAAGCTGAACGCATGGGACTAGAGCTCCTCTGGAAATACAGCTAAAAACTTGAATTTCAGAGTGCAAACTTGGGGGTCGATGGCTGCCGCGCTTGAGCCTACAGCTTCTGAGGCCTCATCATGGCAGCCTTCCAGTGTGGATCCACTTCTACAGAAGTTCAACCAGTTATGCGAGCTATTATTTGAGACTCTAAGTAGCCGCGTGCTTCCTCGACTGCCCATAGGTCGGACTGAAACCTCACAGGTCCCGACTTCCCCACAGTGCAGCAAAGTGAGACCTCATTTGGATATACCCGCATGGTGTTGCGGAGCAGGACACCCAACAGACCGCGTCCAGTGACTAGGTTCCGGCAACCCAACTCTCAAGCTAGCACATACCTACCTGAACGACTTATTGCACGAGGAATCTCATCATTGTATGACATCCAATGGCAGCGAGCATCGATGTCTCTCCCAGGACGCTCACCGGTCACAGCAATGAGTTCTGGACCTGTTTAGACCACAGGAAGCATTGTATGGGCGAGTGTGGTGGCTGAAGTGCAGTGGGGCATTCTGCTCATTTTGTATGGACTCAAGCACCACAAAATACATTCCTCCCTCTAAGGGCATCGGCTGAGCAGGCTATGCTCCTTATGTACAGAAAAATATATTTCACTATATCATTGCTAGAGTTTGATCATATGTCCTGCAGTTAACCTCTCCAAGCACAAAATATGCTGTGGGTTGGACTCTCAGCTCTTATGCCCTAATTGATCCTGATCACATGGTTGTTCTTACCTCTTGTACACTGTTTAACTATTCAGCATGTCGCACCCTTTCTTTGTTTAATATGTTGGAGCTGTTATTCTGCACTGCAAAAATAAAGAAATATTAAACAAAATTCAAGTCCTGCGCTGCTAGCCCAGCGTTAAGTTACTTCCCAGTTTTGAGTGGAAATTTAAAGCCCTCTAACAACAATTTTATGTTTTAAGATCCACATAATATATGTAGTGTAATTAAAACAAAACACTCTGGCACATCAACTCCTGTTCTAAATAAGTTATTCCACATTTGAAACCAATGCTGTAATGCTATATTTTCAGAAAACTGTGTGTGGTGGTTTGATTAAAGGAGGCATTTTAATCATGAGTTAATAGTATGTGGCAAATGTTTTGTTTTTGTTTTCTTTTTTTATTTTTCTCACCTCTGAGTTTGATTTGTTTTTTTCAGATGTCTATTACCCGTCTCCGTCAGTTTCACGTTTCATCAGACCTCCATCTTCTGCCCCAGAGCAAGCCCAAACCTATTTGGATCATTATGCCCCCTACTTACCGGACAGGGTGGTCAGTAGCCAATATGGCACTCCTACCCAGCAGTATCCTCCCATGAGTCAGCCAATGTACCCTCCACACTATGATGGGCGTCGAGTTTATCCTTCTAATGCCCAGTCTTATCAAAGAGAGGAACTGGTGCGTGCAAGTCCAGTGCCACCTACTGCCGTGTCTCCATATGTGCCAGAAGCCAGAGAGAGATACCAGTCTGTAGAAGGCTACTATCCAGTATCTCCACACCCACAAATAAGACCATCATATCATAGGGTATGTTTTTTCCACAGTACTTTGGGGAATCTCCGTTTAGAGCTGGAAAGTGTGCTGTAAATCTTCTGCTAATGTGAGCTAATTTTGCAAAAGCTTTTATTAAAATTTGTAATTCTATTGCATTTTCTTAAGGGGATAGACACAAACGTATTAGAATGTTTGACCTTTGTAGGAAGTGCCACTTTCCTTCGCCCTGCTTACCAGGATTGAAGTGCCTCTTTCCTTTGCCCTGCTTACCAGGATTCCTGGCCCACTCATGTATCTAGTTATGACTAATCCTAATGTGTTCATTTTTCATTAAGACGGTTTATGGAAATTGACTAGTTTAATAGGTGTGTGTTTGCATTAAATTTTTCAGCCATTGAATGGCCACAGCACTTTGGAAAATTTCCACACCCTAGAAAAATCATTAAAAGCCCACCATGTTTTGTATTTATATCAGGATGTTTTTTTTATTGTGTAAACCGTAAATAACATGTTTTATAATAGTTTAGTATTTAAAAAATGCAGAAATGAGACCTAACCGACCTATACATTTTAAATTTCAGGAGCACTATAACTTGCCTCCTCAGCACCCATCTCAGCCTCATCCTAGCCTAGATGACCTTCACCGCCGTCGTAGGGAGATCATGGCTCAACTAGAGGAAAGGAAAGTGATCTCTCCTCCACCATTTGCACCATCACCTACACTTTCCCATCCCTTCCATTCAGATGAGGTAAATTGACTCTAGAGAACTGCATGGAACAGACTAGCATGGCAGATAAGGAATCATGATTAGACGTCCTAAACAGAAAAGAGAGAGTATAATATTTATCTCCATAATGTTAAAAATAATTAATTGATCCAGCCCTCCGCTGTGTGCTTTTTAACATTTATTTGGAAAGAGTGGGAGATCCTTTTTTAAATTTTCTCGTATTGCAAACAACTTTTGTTTTATCAGATGCTTCTAAATAGCATGTTTATGTTATTCCTTGGATCTGCAAATCATATCTTAATTTGTGTAGTTTTGCACTCAAAACCTTGTGTAGCATTTACATCCTTGGTTCATTTGATCTTAATGGTTCACTGAAAAATCCACTCATGTGAGAAACACGAATGCTGTGTGTTCATCTTAAACTTGTTTGTAACATGTTATGAATGTTCCCAATATTATCTTTGTGGCTGGCTGTTAATGTGTGACATGCTGCGTGAACAAACTGAGACTGCTGCTAAGTGGCCACAATTTGTGGATGCCAACAAAATAAATTTTATTTATTGCATCCTTTGTTGAAAATGAAATTCAGTTTTGTTGTTTTCCTATTTCCTTAGTACCTTGATGAGGACTTGAAAGTATCTGGAAAGTACAAAGGAAATGACTATAGCCAGTACTCTCCCTGGTCTTGTGACACCATCGGCTCCTATATTGGAACCAAAGACGCCAAACCCAAAGACGTTTCGGCAGGAGGCAGCATGGAAGTAGCAGTAAGTGGAAATAGAAGTCAGAGGACGGTACTCTTCTCTATTCATTGTTAGTCATTTGTGGCCAAAATAATGTCTGTTTGAATAAAATGTTTATAATCTTTGATGCTGATGGTTGTTCGCCACACCTACTGTTGTTTTTAATGTTTTTTTAATATTATCAGTAGCCAAACCTTTAGATTTGAATGCTTTACATGTATTTCTCGTGCAGACTCTTTGTGGTCCCACAGGTTTTTAAAATGCATCTTCTCCTCTGCTGATTTTATCTTGTGGTTCAGGAATCCATTTTTAAGAGTAGCACAGGTCAGCTCAGATGATGATTATTGGTAAACCGTGTCCAGGTAGAATAGATTAACCTCCACTTATTTAAAGGAACTCTAAACAACATGAGCTTAATAAAGTGGTTTTGTTGTATGGATCATGCTCAATTATCTGCCATTTATGAATCAAGTCACTTCATCTCCCCTGGCTGTGACTCACATGTCTTCCCTACACAACTCTTGAAAAAAAGCTCAATTTTTAAAACATTCTTTTATTGTACAGTGTGTTTTCATTTAGAATGTCTTACCTCCTGCTTTAATTGCATGCTACAAGCAACAGCTGCCTCGTGTGTGATTGAAGTTTAATGGACAGAACAGGAGATAAAAATGTCTAATGTTAACAACCCAGCGCTGTAAAAATAAAACCTTTTTAATGGAGATTGTTAGTCAATGCCAGGGTAGGTATGGCTAGGGCTACAGACACAAGTAATGTAACTCCTAAATGTCAGAGAATTGAACAGGGGCATGATCTATACACTAAAAGTGCTTCATTAAGGTAAAGTTGTTTTATTGCTTAGAGCAGGGGAAGGCAACCTGTGGCATTACTGATGTTATGGACTACATCTCTCATAATACTCTTGCAGTTATAATACTGGTAAAGCATCAGGGGAGATGTAGTCCACAGCATCTGGATTGCCTGCCCCTGGCTTAGAGTATACCTTTAATTTGTATTTCTTTTATTTGTTCCCTTTCCTGTAGTAAATTACACCCAAACATCAGTAGGTCCCTGCAAGGCAAGGTTTGTGATATTGTGTTTGTTGTGACTTCTTAATATAACTAAAATAAAGAATATGCATTTTACTCAGGGATTTCCTGAACCTGCCAATCTTTTATTGTGACTGAATTTACCTTATATAGAAATTATAAAGCAATCCAGGAACCAGGTTTCCTTAAATTACATAAGAATGACAATTGGTACATAATGGTCAAGATGGTGCCTGAATCTTAGTATAAACCATGCCCTCTGGTAAATCAATACTGGTTTGCATTGTCTGTGTCTTTTCTACATATTTGATATGTATCCTCTTACCCATAACTCCGAAATCATCATCATCATTAAAGAAACACTATAGGCAAACAAACATGTATTCCTGATACTATAGTGTTACAATCACTATATAGTCCCCCTAAATATTGTAAAATCCTACTTTTATTCCAGTCTGCTGGTGCTGGCTCTGCCCCTGATCTGCTTGTTTGGCTGACATAATCAGAAGCAATTATCTCAGCCAATCACAATGCTTTACCATAGGAAAGCATTGTGATTGGCTGAGATTGTCAATTCTGGTGGATGATCTCAGCCAAGGAGGCAGGCCTGGGGGTAGAACAAAACATCGCCCTGGCCAATCTGCATCTCCTCATACAAATGCATTGAATCAATGCATCTATATGAGGAAAGTTTAGTGTCTCCATGCAGATGGTGGAGACATTGCATGTGCAGCACTGTCCCAGGAAGCACCTCTAGTGTGGCCACTGGAGGTATCCCTAGGCTGCAATGCAAACACTGATTTTTCTCTGGAAACCGTGTTTACTGCAAAAAGCCTGCAGGGGTATGGTATACGCACCAGCACAACTACATTAAGTTATTATTGCCATTTATATAGCGCCAACAGATTCCGTAGCGCATTACAATATTATGAGAGGGGGGATGTAACTATAAATAGGACTATTACAAGAAAACTTACAGGAACAATAGGTTGAAGAGGACCCTGCTCAAATGAGCTTACAGTCTATATGAGGTGGGGTATAAGACATGTTAGGACAGGAAATATCAATCAAATAGTGTGGGAGTGAAGCAGAGCTGGAGGAGAGAGTAGGGTGCTGCCCTGTAGGAGAGAGCAAGAGACAGGTATGTAAGGTAGAGTTTACTCTGGGAGGCCATAAGCTTTCCTAAAGAGATGGGTTTTAAGGCACTTCTTAAAGGATTGAAGACTAGGTGAGAGTCTGATGGGGGTAGGCAGGCTATTCCATAGGAAAAGTTGTAGTTGTTCTGGTGACTATAGTATCCCATTAAGAAATATAGTACAATTTATAGAAATAATGTTTGTGTTTTACAGTGTACAATGTTTCAGACTTGGTCATTCTAATTCATAATTATTTAAGAACGCAAAGGTTCCAAAGACTTGTTCTCAGTACGTTCAGTATTTTAGTTTCTGATTTTGATGTATTTGTTGTTGGCATTATTGTAGCTTGTGTATTTATCAAAACCTACTTTAGTTTTTTGCCATGTGGTTTTCAATAAGCACTGAGCATGGTCTCACACCAAGTAAACTTAGCCTTTTCAAAGAAAATGGAGTATTGCGTGAAAATAAGTAATTTCATTATTTTATTCAACAGTGTAATTTCCAGAGACGTTCAATTATAAGTAAACTGTCTTTTTTTAATTTATTTTTTTGCAGAATGTTGAAAGCAAAGCCCTAAGGGACCAGCGAATTGAGCTACAACGCAGAGCAACCGAAGCGGGGGAGGATGATCTCATACCCTTTGGTGACCGACCCACAGTGTCTCGCTTTGGTGCCATTTCCCGCACCACTAAGACCATGTATCAGACACCAGGACCCATGCAGCCAACACTGGCCTCCCAAGGTGCTGCTGCCAAATCCAGCATCTCTGGTATGTTTACAATACTATATAGAAGGGAGAAGAAGTAATTTATGCAAAACTATCTAATTTCCTTTTATAATTTTTTTTTAATTCCTTTTTCCTTATGCTAGTACGCTAATAGTGAGTGACATCTGTTAATGTTTTCTTACGGCAACATATATGCCTGATAAACTCTTTTGTAACCACTTCCCCCTTAACATTTATACACATGCTTTCATATTGCATTGCAAAGCCTATCTAGCTTAAAGAATCCCCTTATCTTTCTCTTCATCCTATCGTTGCACAGAAACTATATCTAGTGCTCAGACAATCAAACTGGTAAATGGACCACCTCACTTCTGCACATTCTAAAGGATTACTTGTGAATGAAGTTCTGTTTTTTTTGTTTGTTTGTTTTTTATTTAATTTGAGTACATTCTTTGATTTTTTTTTTATTTTTTTTTTAAATCTTTCCAGAATACAGTTTATATAGTAGTCCCAGCAGTTTGGGATCTCCTCAGTACCCACACCATCAAAACATTTCTTCTCAAGGACATTTGAGTGAGAGGTAAGAACCACGTAAAAATGAAACTTGAACCCAATCCCTTGTTGATTCTTGTGGGCCTTTGCGTTCCTAGCCACTATTTTATTTATTTTTATGCTATATATATTTTGCAGATAAGGTGCTTTTTGCATTAAAAAAAAAATTAAAAAATAAATAAAATATATATATATATATATATATATATATATATAGCAATTTTTGAAAACATGGCTATCACCTAGTTCACAAATATTTATTCTTGAAATGCATGTAAAGAGTTTCCAATTTTAAGGCTTTTTATAGTAGTAGACAGCCACTAGGTGCGCTTCCACAAAATAGCAGAGTAAAACTCTATTTTAATCAGATGGTCTCAGAGAGCACAGTATTTTGTTGAGATAATCGAGTGGATTGTGATGCAGTTTATCAAATTGGAATGCTCCGTATCCTTGCAGAGAAAGAATGTCCAAACCTTCACCTACATCTGATAGAGAACAGCTAAGGATGGAACTTCAGCAGCTGAACCAGCAAATAAGCCAGCATACACAGATGCGTGGCATTGATGTATGTGTATTTTTTATGTTTGATTTGTACTTTTTAAAATTATTTTGTGTATATTTGTATGTTCTTTATGTGCTTATGTACATTTTGAAAAGGTTTGCTGTAGTCTAAGTTTTCATGCCATCGAATTACTTCTAATACATGTGTCTGCAAGAGTCTCATTCACACGTATTGAATGCAGTGCAGGAATTTTGGGGGTTTTTTTGTGGCATTTCTCTCATTCGTCATAATAGATGCAAAATATAAAATTTAGATAATGCCTGAATGCTCTGTAATCGTTCTTCAGTTAGGATCAGTCAGGATGTGCACGCTGTTGCAGGATCACTGGTTACTGGCACACCTTTTCTCAGTACCACCACAGCAAAAGAAACCCTTTTATAGATTCTGCTAGCTATGTGGAGCCATCTAGTGTCCCTTACATTGATTTTAAAAACAAAAGAGCTTTCCACTGCCTTATGCAGTGGTTTGCTGTCAGTGACCGGAGCAGCTTATTTTCTTTGTGACAAAAGTATGGAGGCTCGCTGGCAAGAAGAAAAAAAAAAAAGAATTGGCATGTCTGTCAAAAAGTACCTGCTCTGCCTCACCTGGCCCTTAAAACATGTGTTCTTACAATCTTATATGTATAGACTGCGGGTAACCGCTTGCTGCTGCAGAGAGAGACATCTTCACTTGGCAGTCCACAGCAGCCGCCCCCTCCACCTCCAGCCAAGTGGTCCTCCGGTATGTTGTCCAGTGAACAGCTGAGCCGTGAGCTACATCAAGTAGAGCGTGAGATTGGGAAGAGGACCCTTGAGCTTAGCTTGGTAGGTGCAAACAAAATGTTTGAACGAATGTAGTGTGCCCTGTTGCTAGTCCATTTGATTTTATTTCAGTTGTTATATTCTGCTGAATGTGAAGGAACTGACTACAGATATGGTAGCTAAGTGATATAATGATCTGTTGACTTTTTTTTTTGTAGTTTTTAAAGTATTAAAATCAAAGTTTAATGTTTTTTAGAGGGTTTTGCTGCAATGGCAACATGTATTTGACCTATAGCTGCTTACTTCTTGTATCCTTTGGCGGTGGGTTAGAATTAAAGGAACACTCCAAGCGCCATAACCACTTCTGCCTGATGTAGTGCCTATGATGCCAGAAGTGCCATGGAGCTGTTCCAGTTTAATTTGTCAAACTGTTTTCACAAGTTACCTGAATCCCACTGCCCCTTCCGTTGGATTCTCCTTGCAGTGGAAACCGATTGGTTCTCCTGAGCTAATTGGGGCCATGCTCATTGGCTGAGAGAGCAGGCTGGTATCAGCTATGCATAGCAGCAGAGAGACATCAAGCTTCTCCATCAGAAGATCTGATTTGTTTCAAAACAGTTTGACAAATTACTCTGGAGCAGCACAGCATCACAGCACAGTGGGCACCATAGATACAACAGTGGCTGTTTTTTTCAAATGTTTCTTTAATAAAGCCCATTAAAACTACAAATTGGGCATTTTTTATTATCCGTAATGAATTAGGTTAGTATGTTACATTTGATTAGGAAAGTGTTAATCATCAAAGTAGTTGAAACGTGAAGCTAATTGGTGTATACGTCCTAATTTGCTGATCTGTTTGCACTATAAACTATTGGAATTTTATTCACCTATATCACATTGCTTCCACTAGAAAACCAACAATCAGCCTTGTTAAATTGACAATTAGTTTGATTCGACAATTATTGAGTACATTTTCTCTTTCCCCTTGCCTGTTTCATATCCCTGTAAACATCAGTCTTTTGCACAGATTGATTTATTTATTATGGCCAGGGTGAATTTATAACTAAACAAGTCTGCAGCTAGGAGTTTCCATTTTCTTGTCTATTCACTGCTGCTATTTTCCGTTAGATAGCTAGGTATATACACCTAATTATATATACACCAGTATGGTAAGACATGTTCTCTGTCTGTTTTCAAAGGAGAGTCATTCTCTGGGTATGAAAAACAAACAGGATGCCATCAAAGTGGAGAATGGGCAGCTGGAGCAACAAGCCAAGGTTCTGCCGCATGACCTCCCGCTGACATTCAGGTAGTTTTAGGACACAAATAAAGCCTAAGTCATTGATGCTCAGTACAGGTATTGAGATGTGTCACCAAATATTTTATCTTATTAACTATTTATTTAAAAAAAAATAGGATTACGTTCTGTAAAATACAGGGTGATTAAAACCGTAACTATTTGAAGGGTTGCTCGAAGCATCATGGCCACTTCAGTGATTGGAAGTGGTCATGGTGCTTGGGTTTGTATGTGCAGCATTTTAGATTAAACAATGCATCTACAGAGATATTAAATGTTTTTGTTGGAGGCATAACACCACCTCTGGCAATATCATCCAATCCAAAGCGAGAAGTCTATGCTAGTTAATGTCAATTTTGTGCATATTCTGTCATTCATTGGCTGAGAGAGCTTGGTTGACACTCTCAGCCCATGAATGGATGGTGGGATTGACATCCATCACCATGTATCTGCGGGACCCAGGTAAGATGGTGTAAACCATCGCAAAGCGTTTTGCCCCTTTACCGTAGAATGGTGCTAGCAAGCTGTAGTGGTTATGCTGCTTGGAGTAACCCTTCAAGATGAGGCATGTTGATTATTGATGCAATTAATATAGTTTTAGGTTCAAAATATAGATTAAGGATTAAAATAGATTATGAATTCAATGGTTTGTTTATATCAGCAGACACCCTTTTATAGTTTTTGGGGAGGGAAGGGATGGTTTTTGCAGGACCCAAACTGTAGAATTTTTCAATGACTGCATAAAATAACTTTATAGTTTTGCGATGATTTTATCTCAACCTATTATAGGGTTGCTTCAACCAAAATAACGATTGTGTCATGTGACTCTCCCTCTCTTAAAATAATTTTAAAAATTAAAAAAATAAAGAAATGGAATAAAGGAAAAAACATAATTATTTTTATCCTGGCTCAGCCCAGTCCTCCTCCGGCGTTGTCATTCTGCCTCACTGGCGGTGGTAGTCAGGGGAAATGGACTGTGGGGTTGGGAGGAAAAGGAGGCACACCGTTGATCATATGTCACCAGTGTGCTGACAACACGCCAAATATGTAGAGAATTGACATTAGCCATCCCAGGCTTTATCTCTTTATGTGCAGCATTTCTCAGTGAAACACTGCACAAACAAACTCCAAGCAGCATGCTCACTTCAAATCACTGAAGTAGTCATGGTGCTTGGAGTAATGTAAAATCTTAACGGTTTTTGAATTATGGCTTCATCCCCATCGCACATCTTTTAGGACCTCTCTTCCTGGATCTCAACTGATTTTAATAGAGAAAAGCGTATCTACTCGTAAATAGCAAGGGTATAATCTGTCCTAAAGATAAATTCTTGAAAGCCCCCTCTGGAAATAGTGAGTAGAAAAGCTAATTCGTTATTTATTTTCCCACCAAAAAGAAAACACAAATTTGCCTTTTACAATATGGATGGAGATTATGTGTAAAGAGCGTTTTTGAATGATTGTTCTAAAAGTGGGGAAATCGACAAGAAATGTTTTTCTTTTATAATATGGGTTTTAGACGTCACTGTCGTTTCATATTCATTGTTTAACTGCAACTTTTCTCTAGCTTAATTACAAAGCAGAGAAGAAAATAGTTTAGAAAAAAGTATTTTCCTATTTACTATATTGTTTTTCATGTAATTTTTTTCCCCTCTCTTCTTTTTTTTTCCTTCTTTCAGCAATGAGGTGCCAAATGGATCAGGTCTGGCCCAGGACATCACCTTAATGTCTAACAAGACTGCTTCACTGAATCTTTCAGAAGATCCTCAGTCTGGAGGGGACAAGAACGATCCCCTTAGAACTGGAGTCAACTCTACTACTGCTCCATAAATAGCGAGGGCTTTTACCCACATTCTTGACCCTTTAAAAAAAAAAAAAAAAAAGTTTATTTGAAGGTGTTTTTGTTTAGTGGGAAGCAGACAAAAAAGTGTAAGAGCGTCTTTGTCTTTAATTATTATTATTATTATTTTTGAACAGCCCTTTTGTTTTTTCTGGAGAGAGAACTGAGCGGTTAAGGGTTGTCAACAGTTGGTGACTAGTTTAGTGTTCTAACTTCATATGACCCGTTTTGGGGGTCAGTTATGGGAGAGATCTGTGACTCTTGCCTTCCTGTTCCCTCTCCTGAAGCATGATCGACTACATATATGATGTGCATTGAAAACACCACTAGTAAGAACAAGCTCTGCACATATTTTCACATTAACACATTTTTTTAATAAAAAGAAAAAAAAATTATACGGAATACAAAATATATATAAAAAGACACAGATGAAAATTAGCAGTATCTGCAAGCAATTCAAGATTAGTTGTTTTTGTTCTGTGAATGAACTTAATTTTAATACCTTTTGATGCCTTGGATGCAAGGCTTTAAAGACAAAAAAGGAAGATATTATATATATATACTCTGTTTGATTAATTGTACGATCTTATTGCTGTAGATTACATTTATTTTTTCTTGTTTTATTAGGATGGTATTACATAGCCAGGTCAGCATTGGCTGCTTCCCATTCTCAGCCATGGGCACAACTGCGTGGATGATGGGAGATTTTAACTTCCTGTCCAAACGGTTTCACCTTACGCATTCTGTCATATTTTATGACAGTCCTCTGCTTGTAGCATTGCCCAGTTCAAGGATTCAATATGGGGTAGTAGATAAAACCCTCAATTCCTCTTAGAAATGCCATATTTAAAAGAAACAAACAAAAACAGTCTTCTTCCAGGCATTTTGCATCTAATTCTTATCCTTACTATTTTATTATAGTGATATGTCAAAGAAATGGCTTTATTTTTGTTTTGCCACCCTTAATATCCTGTTGATACACAGAAAGGTGCAAGATGTGCATAATCATGTAGTGACATCAGGACAGATTCCAAGCAAAAAAAAAAAAAGAAATCATTGGTAAATATTTAACTCAGTGTTAAATGAAAACACTAATTTGGAAATGTCATAGTTCTCCACGTATCTTGGGTTCCAGGGTCACTTTGACATCAGTAAGACTGATCCTCTCTTATATATTTTTGCAAGGCAGAGAACTGGCTATGTAATATCGTCCCACATCGTTATGGTGGGGTAAAAGCGAGAATTAATTCCTTTTTGTTCTTGTATTTTCTTAGTGTTTTTCGTTGTTTATTATTTTTTCCCCTTCTCTACGATTTTTCTTAATCTTTAACTCTTGCTGGGTCAGTGTCCGCCTCAGCGTTACGTTCTGCGAATCCTATTTTGAAAGAATTTCTAAAGGAAAATTTTACAGTACACCTACCTTTTTTTAAGGTGGGAAACAAAAATAAATATGGGTTTCAGGTTCCTCATTTGCCTACCAGTTGAGGTTTCCAAACTGATGGTGCCTCGATGTAAAGCACCTGTTTAAAAAAATTTTTTCTTTCTTATTGCCAAGAAGTGGCGCCGCGTTTAATATACTGTTTCACATTGAATTAAATTGAACGTTTCGGACCTGCTGGTCACACATTTGATATTTACATATATTGGCTTGGAGTTCAAGCTAACTCTTTTTTTTTTTTTTTTTTTTTTTTTTTTTTTTTTTTTCTTTTATTTAAAAAAAAAAAGAAGATACCACAGATAATATATAAATATATATTTATGTGTGTAGATATATATATATATGCATGCATACATATATATGATGTTTTAAGGGTTAATTTTTTTCCCTTTTGGTAGAGTGCAGCTGTAGGATGTACGGAATGTCTGAATGCTACATTGTGAAAGTGAGCCATTGCACAAAGTAGAGGTCTGATGCAGATTTTAAATCCATAGGAGTACCAGGGAAGGTTCTTGGTGATCTGTTGACATATAAAGTTACCCTTTTAGACTTGGTGCTGAGTCTTTGTTGTCTTTTGTCTAATCGTGTCTGCTTTTCTTTTGTACTGTCTCACTAATGCTGTGGGGCCCTTTGTCTTAGTCAACACCTTAGATTTTAGATTCATCATCACCTTAAATGATGGCATTTTGATTTCTTGATCTTTTTTCCAGATCATCCTACTTATATTTATTTCTATAATCAAATGTCTTCTCTCAAAAGCTCTGAACTATTTGACAATTCCAGCAGTGTGCAGTACTCATCTCAGTTAAAGGTTTACATATATAAATAACCAGTAGTTTTAAATACAGTCAGCCCTTTTAAGTCTTCATAGATGTTGGTTGTAGCTAAAAATGTAATGCCTCGGTTTATTTTAATCAAGTAATTATACTTCCCACCATAACAGCTAAAATCTCCCATAGCCTCAAAGCGCATAGCACAGCATGATGCATCACCCCAACCGATGATTTGTTTTTATTAACAGTTCTGCTGTGAATCTAATATATATATATTTTTTTTTTCTTTTCATATTCTAACTATAGAGACAAATGGGCAGACTACACATGTAGTATTTTAAAACACAATTGCTACAAGCCTGTCACATCTTATAACAAAGCGTGACTTGTAGCTTGGATAACGATTTCTGCAATTCTATAAAATCATTAGCGATATATGCTTAACAATAGCAGCTCTCATTGATTTTGTAATGAAGACTGTTATGCCTTTAGTTTTTTTTTATTACTCTTTTCACTGAAAAATCTTAATTATTCAAATCACATTGACCATGTAAATATTCAGCTAATTTAGAAGGTTGTCACGTTATTTTTATTGCTATAATGGGATTATTTTGGCAGTCTGTTTTGCTTAAAAACAATATTTTCAACACCACTGCAGTTATAAAATACATGTGAAGATGTGAGACTGTTTAAAAAAGCTCCACATATATAAAGGGCTCTTCTTTATTATGAAAACAATCATATCTGTTGGATTTTTGTTTGTTTTATATTTTTCTCTTTTGATTGTAAACACAGTTTCTGCACCTTACCATATTTATTGGGCAAGAAATGCATCCACCCACTTCATTGTGCTTTGTGTTTTTCTTTCCTTGGGGCATTGTGACATATACAGCTGAGGGATTTATGTAGTAAAAGGAATTACAGGGACTCTCAACTAAATTTGGATCAAAATTGGCAAGTTACAAGTTGCAATTTTTATGTTCTTTCCCCCCAACTCTGCTGTTTTGACCTACATTTTCCAGCTCTGTCAAATCTCCTCACTGTTTAGTGAATCTGCTCATATGTATCTTGGACTTGGCAACCAAGAGTGATTTCTATGTTGCCCTGCCATATAATTACAAATTGCCTTACCTTCCCATCAGACCTCTACTCCTATCAGCTGCCTCATCGAAACAATGAAGGAAAAAAAAAAAGAAAATGAAAAAGCATTCAGACGAATTTGTTTAGCCAATAACTTCTGTGAAGTTGCTGTTTTCTAATGGTGTTATAACTCGATAATGTACAAAATAAAAATGTAAAAACGCGGGGAAGCCTCTTAACTGGTAGGCAATCTTATACAACTGATCTGGGGACAAAGTTTCACAATGAAAGCCAGGGCACAGCTGTTCTGACCTGAGGGAGTCTAGAGTGTTGTGATTGGTCTTTAATTGTCTATTTGAAAAGCGTTGTTGAACATGTACATGAAGGTTCTATGTATACCTGTTTTGCCATGGAGGAATTAATGCCCTAATGTTGTATGGCTCTTGTCAATGCTGGATGTTACAGAGTTCAGCTACATTGCATAATCAATAGTGAACAGGTTGAAAGCTGATTGCATTGTTCAGATCTGATGTTGAAAGATTTTAGGGTCTCCTTGCGTTTCTTGTTTTGGTTTCCCAATTTTTAGTTTGAATGCTTTGGTGCTGTTTTGATGGATCTCAGATGCCAGTATGAGATATCTTAATGTCATTTAACCCTAAGCTAATGAGTCATGGCTTTAAGATTTTAAGACCTACGAGATTAATTTGAAAAACTAAATTAGATTTTGCTTCCAGTACTCTATGCAACGTTGGCCAAAATAAATGAAAAGTCATGAAATTTCTCAGTGCACTCCAATCTGCAGATTAAAGCCTCCATATTCCAAGTGTGTGTTACTGGATCAGACTCGTGTGGTCTTTGCAAAAAAACTATCACATCTCAAGATGACTTCTTTGGTCAGAACAGCTAATGTGCATGACGCAAACCCATCATGCTTCTGCGAAATGTCGGGCATTTGACAGCTTGTAGTGATCAAATATTTGTAGTCCCATAAATTTATCTCTGTTACTAAACAGTTATGATGCAGGGTTTACAAGAATTTAAACTGTTAACATGATAATGACAGTGTGTGAAGTAAAGTCTGTTGACATACGGTCTCTACTTGTGAAAGGCACACTCCAGTGTATCCACACCGCTAATACCTATTTTTTTTTTCTTCTTTCTTTCTTTGATCAGTGAGAGGTAATCACACTCATGCTGCTATATAATGCAGTAATGGTTTGTGGAGAATCCAAATTTGCCTCATTCATAGCAAGAGAAGACAAAACAACTAAGGTGTATTTTTATTTTAATTTTATTTTTAACCCCTTAAGGACCAAACTTCTGGAATAAAAGGGAATCATGACATGTCACACATGTCATGTGTCCTTAAGGGGTTAAATATGTAAGCCATACATTTAGAGAACTGCAAAACAAACAAAAATCCATGAGGCTGTATCCAAGTGGATTTTGCTCCTTCATTCCTGGAGTATCAATTTAATCCACTTTTGGACAGCTAATTAATCACATTTACTTTTACACACTGTTGATTGCTAGGATTTGCCAGAAATCTATAAAAACACTGGCATTAATTTTCCATCCAGGGTTTCCATTAATTTTTACATGGGTGTTCTGGTACCCATTCATATAGTCCTTGTTTGACTATAGTCATTGTTTGACTGATTTGTAGCAGAATTGGGCATATTAATTGTAGCTGTGTGAGAGTAGACCTCTGAGAGGTCCCACACAGGACTCTTCCTAGTGTTTCAGCACCTCGGTTTAACTCTACTTGTTAGTAGCTAAATCATCCAAAATTGTATGAAGCGTTAACCGTGTGCCATGCTACCAACATGTGACATCTTTTTGACAGCAATATGGATCACCATTTTGGAATTTGAATTCAGTAATAGACAAACCGTTCAAAGCTATCAGACTATGAGAATAAACATTCTTCTCCAACACCAAGCTTTTGGTGGGCACAGTACATTGCTTTAGAAACCCTGGTAGCAAGCCTTATTGTTCGTTACTAGATTGGATCTAGGAATTAATTACATGTGTATCAGACACAACCTACTGTTTTTAATCTGCATCATTAAAAAAAAAAACAACAAAAATTCTGTGCTGTTTTGTCATAGACATGTTACTACTACTCTAGATTTTTGGGACTTTTTTTTATATTTTCTTTTTGTACTCGTAAAGTTAACAATCACAAAAGCTGACTGTGCCCTACATTTCGACAGTTGTAGGACATAACTTTAAACAAAATTAAATTTCTTTTCTTTCAGGCTGGATTCAGTTTACGATTATTATTAATAATTTCTGTTCTTCTGGCTCATACCAGTCTTTCGGAGACATTCTGCAGCTATTAATCACCTTTTTGGGTGGAGTTAACAGTTTTGTTTTGTTTTGTTTTTTTGTTTTAATTTTTTTTTTTAACTTTTTAACTTTTTGATGCATTTTGCTTGAAAAAGAGCTTGTGATATTCACCAATCTTATTGATTGTTCTGTGACTGTGCCCTGCAGAGGTTTAATAAACAAAATGAAAAAAATATATATGTTGTTTGCCCCTTTTACTTGTTAGGGAAAGAGATTATGTATTCTGCTGACTATATTATACATTTATAAGCTACTTTAAATGACTTTTATTAAATAGCACTCCAAGCTAATTTATGCAAATTCATGGGTAAGTTTGAGCTGCATGACATTTTGGGATGCACTTTGAAGGGCTCCAGGCACCATAACTTATTTATATAAAGTTCTTCTGGTGCCAGGAGGTACATGGCTGGCACCTTCCAGCACCAAATCTTCCTGCCTCTCTGTCCTTCAGTTTTCTTAAAATTGGGAAATATGAAAACTCTTGCAGAATCATTGCCATTGATTGAGAGCGGTCAGCTGGATGCTCCCAGCCAAACAGTGACTCCCTATTTAAAAAAACTGGCTTGGACAGAAACATTCTTTTTTCAAGCCAGTTTTATGAATGAGGTACCACTGATTTGCTGAGACAGTCAACTGAACGCTCTGACAATCAGCGGTGCTGCTGCCCCAATTCTGCAAGAGCCTTCCGGTTTCCCTTTAAAGGGACACTATAGGGTGAGGAACACAAACATGTATTCCCTGTAGTGTTAAAGCCAACAAGTGGTCTTGCATAATATCCTATGGGACAGAGTGCTTGTTCCATACTCTGAGTTTGAGTCTCTCGCCTATGTCTTCTATTTAATGTTAAACATCATTTCCCCCAGGCATGGTAGCTGCTTTCTTTAGAATTATAAGATAGGTGGGCATTCAGGGGTATCAAGATCTGTAAGAGCAAAGTGAGCTTGTCGACTAACTGTTTTAGTTAACTAAAACCATTCAGATGACTAATATACCACTAAAACTAAAATCGCTTTTTAGTCAGAAGGCTATGACTAAAACTAAATTGAAATTTGCTGCCAAAATTAACACTGGAGAGCAAAACACTTTGGGGGCTAAAAAACTGAGACACATGGGGAAGGGGAGATAAGAAACTGAGACTGAGACACATTGGGGGGAGATAAGAAACTGAGACACATTGGGGGAGATAAGAAACTGAGACACATTGGGGGAAGATAAACTGAGACACATTGGGGGAGATAAGAAACTGAGACACATTGGGGAGATAAGAAACTGAGACACATTGGGGGGAGATAACTGAGACACATTGGGGGAGATAAGAAACTGAGACACATTGGGGGGGGGGGAGATAAGAAACTGGGGGGCGGGGCCGGACCGCCATGCTGACCGGTCGCATGTAGGACAGGCTCCGGAGAAATCTGGCCTGTTAAGCCAAAATTCACAGTCCTGGTACTCGACATGAGCACACAAGATACTCACACGGTGGTGGAAGAGGCGGTGGACCCCGAGATCGGGAGCTTTGGGTCCCCTGAGGGAAGCACGAAGCTTCGGGAGCTGCGGCCTACTCGGGAGGAGAGCGGGGTGGACGGCCGCCGCCCTGCCTCCCTCCCCAACTGCCACACTGGCTTTTCGAGGGGCTTGCCGGTCCCGTTTCCCCCCCTGTGGGCTGGGGGGGTCATCCCAGCCCCCCTGCAGAAAGCTCAAGATGAGTGGAGATTAAGTGGCACGAGACCCCCAAGGCCTACCTTACAAGATGGCGGCAACGGCAAGCTATGCACCATCATGCCATCCACAGCGACGACAGACCGCAAAGCAAGTCCGGCGAGACATGCCGGGTACAGCATGGAAACATTACATGCAGCTACATCGCAGCTCAGGCTCACAACAAGCGAGGAGGGCTGGTCCAGGCAGATACAGAGGGGCTCAAGCTGCAACACCCACGGAACCCAGGCACCCTGCCGGCCTAACGAAGAGTCCACATACCGGGAACCTTGCTCTGCCCATGCATGATGTCAGATGAAGGGAGAACGGGACTTTGTCTCTAGCATGGTGCCTGACTACCACCTCTGACTCCAACACTTGCCGAGTACTTGCCTTGGTACTAGAGACTTTAATTTCACACCCAGATCAACTGCATTTACTAATACTACACCAGCAGGGGTGACAATGCCATGTAACTTTCAACTGCCTTTAACTAATCGGGCACTAGAGACGGGCAGGCTTGGGGGGCTAAGCAATGTTTTGTTTTTGCCTTATTCTCTACTGTTTTGCCTACTTATATACATTCTCTGGTCTACGTCTGCCTCCTCACGTTTAACATATATGTGCCTAGCACGTGTTAAAATCCACTAGCTGTCCTTATGGTTAATGTGTACATTTTATAACACGTTTGACTATTCCTGTCCTAACTAAATAACATATACTGTCGGCTCAACTATTGTAATAATCTAATATTCCTGAACTCACTAGCCTGACTTACTTATAGCTTACCTGCTTTAAAAAACAAAATAATTTTGTGCCTAAATATCAAGTGTCACATCTTGTATTGCATATTGAATTGTTATATACCTTGATCCCGCTGTTATGGCATATTGAGGCTGTTTGTTTATTTGTGCACAACAAAAATAAAGAATAAAAGAAAAAAAAAGAAAACAATTACGTTCTAGAATGTTCGAGAATTACAATCTCAAAATAATCAACAAATATTTACTTTTTATTAAATAATAAAATAACTACTAGATATACCCCATATTGAAGTGTGCTGCCTACATATACAGTATATACAATGTATGTGTTTAAATGGTATACTATCGCTGTCTTTTCTTTAAACAACCTGCAATGTACCGATAAAGAAAATGTCACATTGCTCTTTTCAGCTATCTCCAGACATGATCACATTCAAAAGAAAGAGATGCACAACTTTATATCTGCACAATAAATAATTCTAGGTTGTAATTTACTCTGTATCATTGAATAATAAAGAACTCATCTCGTCAAAAAAAAAAAAAACTGAGACACATTGGGGGGGGAGATAAGAAACTGTGACACATTGGGGGCGGGAGATAAGAAACTGAGACACATTGGGTGGGGGGAGATAAGAAACTGAGACACATTGGGGGGAGATAAGAAACAGACATGGGGGGGCTAGGTATTGAAACACATGGAGGACTGGGTTATTGACACGAGGGTACTGTGGGAATGAGAGAGAGAGGCTAGGAGAATGACACGTGACGGCTGGGAGAATTAGACACATGGAGGGACTGGGTGGGGAATTGAGACACATGGTCAGCTGGGGGAATGAGACGTGGGGGAGATGAGATGCATAGAAGGGTTGGGACACACAAAGTGACATAGAGGATCTCTGAGAGAAAGAGACAAATGGGGCTATGAAGAGAGAGACACTGCCTGGTAACAGGGTGGGAGGGGGTCAATATACAGACAGGCTTGGAGGGGGAGACATCCAGAGGGGCTGAGCGGACACAGAGGAGCTGTGGATGGGGCAAAAAGAGGCTTTAACTAAACCCGTTAGATTTTAGTTGTGTAGACTAAAACAATTCACATGTCTGAAATACGACTAAAACTAAAATGTTTTGTTTTTTTTGTCAAAAAACTGATTAATGTTCTGCTTGCCAAAGCCTTCCACAGCAGCCACACAAGCTGACCTGGACCTGCGCTTCCAGTCTGTACAGGAAAAGGCAGCCGCACTGGGGAAGACTCCCTTACTACTCCAAGGCTCTCTGTCATTCTTCCTGGATCTTACCAGGGGCACTATCGTGTGGCTCAAGGCCCAGTAGCTGCTTCTAAAATCCCTCAGACAGAAAGACATCCAGTATAGATTGGGCTTACCAAAATTGCTGCTATTCTTGTACAAGTGCACTTCATACCGAGTGAGGAATCACTCGAAGCTGAGCACCATCCTTCGCGAACAGCGCCTTCTTGAACCCTGACGAGCAGGTGGGACAGGCCTGGCACAACTGGATCCCTCTACAGTTCATGCCAAACAGGACCGAACATCATGCCCCTACACAGAACGCAACCTGAGATGCCATGCACCTTACCTGTCCTACCAGAGACCGCTATTGTCCACCGACCTGGACCCTGCAGAGCCAAAGTGACCAAATACTTTTAACTATTTTTAATATTTTGTTTGTATTTATTGTTCTACTCTACCCCTGATGTAGGGGCAGTACGAGGTTACACCTCAACAGTATGAAGGCTTTTGCCTGTTCCACAGCAGTCTTCAATGGCAATATGTCCATTCTTGCTCAAATTCCCTCCCATCACAGTACACCTGGCAGTGAAAACACCAGAAAGTATCCCCAATGGGTATTAAGCATCACTAAGTTGCCTACTGCGTTTATTACCACACTTTATGCCCACACGGGATGTTTCATTAGCCACTGATTTTTTTTTGTTTGTTTTGTTTTGTTTCCTGCTTTTTGTTTCCCCTACACATATTAAAAAAAACAAAAAACAAAAAAAAACTCATTCACCATGGTTTTCTTCTAAGGAAGAAAGCCTAGTCCTCATAACTTGCTGTACTCCTGTATTTACTCCTATCTTGCCTTGTATGTGCTTTGTTGGCATAAATAAAGAATAAAAAAAAAAAAAAAAAGACTGAATCAAACTAAATTGAGATTTGCTGCCAAAATTATCACTGACATTAAGGTGATCTGCATTGACCTCTGGTGGTGACCACTAGTGTTACTTAGCTATGCAGCCTCACTGGCAGACTGGAGTTGGGGCAGGCGGATTGCACAAACAGAACATGGTCATGAAAAGTGAAGCTATGTCGAAATAAACATTACATTCTAGTACCCTTTTAATGTCCTTGTTTTGTTAGTGAAAATACTGATTGGATAATGTATTGTGTGTGAATAAGTGTCTCCACCAACCATAGCAAATGTAAAAATAAAGTAATATACTGTGTGTTCCTTAGATAACTACATCAAAGCAAATAAACTCACATTAATATGTTGTGTGAATGAATGTATCACAGAGCTCGGCAGCAAGAAAACTGGGTCGAAAACATGACATGACAAGAAACATAAATCAAAAAGTTAAATCAGTTTAATCCCAAATCCGGGTAGGAACTTCATGCGGAAAGTCGAGTCCGTCCCTTGAAGAGAACCAATCACACTGAAAGAAAAAGAAAAAAGTGAAAGGTATCTGAATTGG